ATTAAGTTATTCCACACGTGCGGAGCCCGTAACTCAATTAGTTAAAAGTAAAAGAAATAATATAAGTATAAATAGTGGTTCGACAGAGGAACACCTCAGTCAACTTTAATTGCTGATCTCTTACTTAATTTACTAGGTTTACACAATAAAAGTAAGTGCTCAACATAAAACTTCTCACCCTTTTCTCGAGCCCCTTCTATTTATTTAGCTATAACCAAAGAAACTATCCAATCATGGTCATAACCATGTCTTGCACTTTCAAAGGTTATTCTGGATAACTCGAACATCGTGAGATAGACGGATGAGAAAGAGACTCTACCTTGTAAATTTTATGTAAAATATACAAATCGTTGAAGATGCAGTCACGAGGGCTAAAATTAAACTGTTATTTATTTTAAATAGTTTTAAAATCTGTCATTTACTTAATTTAGTTTTATAAATCTGCTATTTATGACAATTTCTCTTTTCATCTTTACTTAAAAGAAGTACAAGCCTACTTGTCAATGATAAAATGGCCGTGAAAAGAGAAAAAGCAATGTAAAATTGTAAGAAAATTATGGTAATCTGTTTCCAGTTAACGATTAACTTATTTATGTGATAAAAAGTAGTAAAGCCACTGTGGTAATATGTTTTCAGTACTAATTTATGATAAAAAATTATAAGTTTGAGTCGGGTTAAACAGATCGGCATGAGGCCCGTCACTGTTAGCCTAAGCCAATCCTACTCTCATGGTCAGGCACGTTCAAGGTTTTGAGCTCAAAAATTTATTTGGGCTGGGCCGGCACAAATGTCCTATTTTTAAAGTTTTTTTTAACAGAAATAGTAGAAAATAGGCCAATATGAAAAGCTCAAGAAAGTATATAGGCCAATTTTTAGTTATAGAAATTAATAGACTTAACTTGTCAAGTTATGGTTCATAACCAGATAAGTTATAGACAAACTTGTCAAGTTATGGTTCATAGCCAGACAAGTTATGTACAAAAATCGTGAATTATGGACAATAACTTATCAAGTTATGGTTCATAACGAGACAAGTTATGGACAAAAACAGTAATTTGGCCTATTTATTAACTTATGTAAACTATTGGCCTATTAATTTTAATTCATCTCAAGTCTTGGCCTATTTTCCTCTTTCTCCCTTTTTTTAATACTTTACAAAATTCAGGTCCGGCCTTAAACCTTTCGGGCTTTAAGGCCGAGTTGAGCCGTCCCTCTCTATCTAAGGTTAGATTGGGTTAGCTTTAAAATTTTCATTCAGATTATTAGGCCCGGGTTGAACCGAACAACCCAAACTTTCACCTTTAACGCTAACAAATCAAAAGTAGTTTTTTTCCACACAATATGCAATTGCTACTAGCTGATGAAATGAGGCTATTGATTTTTTTTTTCCGTATAGGTTACTTGCCTCCTTTTTCCTTATTTATTTCTATTTAATTAATGTATAATTATTGTTTTATAGGTATCTTAAAGTAACAAATATTTATGCAAAAAAAAAAAAAGGTATGAAATTGCTCTCTCTCTCTCTTTAAAACTTGTATCTCCTCATTCTCTCTAAGTTTCTCTGCCGCCCTTTTCTCTTTGGCCGGAGGTCCGGTGCGTCACTGGACCTTTGGCCATAAAAATCTCATCCCTAACCTCATAGTGAGACAATCTACAAGGTTATAGGCTCCGTGTAATTAGAGGAGGTAGCGTTTCGTTAGATCTGGCCCGTGAAGGTATGACTTTCTCGATAGTTTTACCTGATTTTCAGAAGGTGTTCACCGGCCATGGACTTTGGAAACTCATGGACAGACTTGGGGGAGTTGCTCGCTCGTGGTGTTCACACTATCTCTAACCAAATCTCTGCTGTGTAGGTTGTAGATTTGTGTATAGTTTTTTGTATTTTGTTCTTTAATTTGCTATAAAAATGATGATGGTTTCCCCATCCACCGGTGTGTTCTCCTCGCTGGAGGGTGGTTTTCCCACCTCTCTCAGTTTGTGGTGTTTTCTCCCTTAGCCAACGGTTGGGTTTCCTTCCGTTGCTAGTCTAAGGTATGTGTGTATGTGTGTGGTTCATTACATGATTAGGATTTAGCTCACTTTGAGTCGATATTCTGTGACCAAATGTTATAGAGCCACTTTTAGGAGGTGTCCTCTACGCTATTGAATTAGGGGTGCGTTTCTAATGTCTAGTCTCGTGAGTGGCACTTGTTCCTATGGCTTTGGTGCAATCATGTATTCTAGCCTTTTGGTGGTCTTTTAATGAAATTGCCATATTTATCTTTAAAAAAGTAACAAATATTTATAATATATACTAAATGATACGTAAAAAATGTAAATTTAAATATTTATAATAAACATATTTTTTTGAAGTAAGATACATGTTTACACATACATAGATTGTGTGTTAATTATAATTGTTGATACCCGATTTTATACTAGGCCCATTCAAGGGTCCAGGCCCATTCAAAGGTCCAGGCACAACTATGACGTCAAACGGCATTATTGGGCTCGCTTCGTAGACCTACGCCATGCTCGGAGAATTCTTGTGAGTTGTGGTTTGGTGGGCCATGAGTGATCAAGTAGGCCCGTTTGTCATTTAATTAGTTCCAATTTGAATCCTGATTAGGAGATTTTCAGAATTAATCGGATTAAATACAAATGGGTGATGGAGAATTCCCAAAAGTGTTCCTCCCGTCCTTTTGGAAGCCCAAAATTCCTAAGTCTAAGTCTTAGAACATCTTCTTCTTCGTTAAGGTTATTTTTCAGTGTTTTGACTCCAACGGAGGCTCTACACGCGCCAGACATGCCTAATGGAGGCTCCATCCGTGGCAGGCATGTCTTCCAGAGCATCATCTTCATGCCCAAGTATGCCTAACAGAGCCTTTTCCGTGTCAAACATCATTCCTTTGGACTTCTTCTCGCCCAACTCACCATCAAAGCAACCTTCGCTTGCAGCATGCTCACCCTGCAGAGTAGCTTCACCCGGAGAAATCTTCGTTTAGAGCATGCTCACCTTCGGAGTAGCTTCATGTTACAGCCAACTTGATGGTTGCTTAGCTAATATCCTATAAACCATCTTTAACAAGGTTTGACATGCGATCAGACCTCAGAAACAGGAAGTCAACGGAGCACGAAATTGAGTCAAACACTCTTGAGAATTTTAGACCTTGGAACTCTTCACGTCACCTTCAAATCCGGAGCTTTGCCTCCAAGTCTTTCCATTTTCAGATCTTTTCTCTGTCAATCCAGAGAGTCACTTGGTCGTTTTGCTCCAAAGGGAATTGCGTGTGCAGGTCTCCGTTAGGGCGCCGCCGATTGGGGTTCGGAGTAACCACCATAACCTTTCTTTCCATTTCCGGGCCAACTCTTTTTCAACCCCGGAAGGGCTTCTAATGACTTTGCTCCATTTGGATCGCGTATGCATGCTTCCTTCAAAGCGCCGCCGATTCATCCCTGGAGTAAGTTCCCAGAAGTCTTTATTCCATTTTCGGCTAATCTCCTCTTCAACTCCAGAAAGGTGTTAGAGGGCTTTGCTCCATCGGGATTGCTTGTGCAAGCATCTGTCAGAGCACGCCGAACGAACCTCCGGAGCTGTTGCCAAAATCTAACCAATTTCACCTATAAATACCCATTATTTCCTTCATTTTGGGGGTGAATCCATCATCATCATCATCATCAGCCACTATCTTAATCCTCTTCAGATTTCTCTCCTTCCCTTCCTTCAGACTTCTCTAGTCTCTTGCTACAGAGACTTGAGATTCTTCAAGCTTTCAAAGTCCTTCAAAGCCTCCAAGTGTTGACAATCTTGGAAACCTTTCCAAAACACTTTTCGATCCATTTCCACCACCATCTTAAAACTTTTTGAAGTTTCTTCATACATTTTCCGGCAACGTCCAAGTCTTCATCTTCGGCGTCACTTCCGCTCACTGTTGGTGCAAGTGCTCTGAGCATTGTTCTCACTTCCAGAGCAACACACACTGCTCTTGGAGTTCTTTTCACCAGAGCCTGATCTACCTTACCAACTTCACTCTCACTCTCCTCCAAGTCTTATCCACCACTCTAGTCACCATCTTTGCTCCTGGAGTAACCCGCGCTTATCTCTAGAGCACTGCTCTATCAATGCACCTTTAGCCTCCTTTTCTCCATCTCTATCAACGACTTGGTCGCATCTCCCACCATTCTTCATCTCTGGAGTTCTTTTATTTATTTTTGCAGATTCTCTAACGTATTTTGCATGACATTTTCGTCAATTCGGAAACAAAGAAGGTCCTAAGACACGCGTCATTTGGCCTGATTTGGGCTTAATCGACACGCTTCTTTTTTGGAGGTCTTGCCATCCTCATCCACATTGAAGCTCGGCCACGTCAGATCCGCTTCTGACAAACCATGTGCTTACGCATGTCAACGCTCGACACGTCGACCCTCTGAATCTACTAAACCCTGACAATAATTATGATGAAAATGAGTATTTTCACAACCGAAAAAACTATCTTGTCTTGCCAACTTAAATGGATACCGATGATTCCTTTCGTAGGATGAAAGTGTAAAGAGAAAATTACTGAATTTATAGTTAAGAGTGCATGAATTTAAATTTTACCATTTACTCTTTATTAATATTTTTTTAACTAATATAATTATTTAACTAAAAAGTATTACTATAAAAGGTAAAAATTTAGACTATGTAGGGGTATTTATCTCTTTTTATCTATGTGTCAAATGGCTATTTTTTGTTTTTTTTTGTTTTCAACAGAAAAACTTTGGCAATCAGCTGACAAAAAAAAAAATACAAATGGTAAAGAGTCAAAAAAAAAAAGAAAGAAATACCCCACACCCTAAATGGGGACATAATAAATTTCCTCATATATATGTTTTCCTTTTCTTTTTTGTTTTTATATAAACAAATTAATCTCTGCCCGTGAACGAATAAGTAATTACATGCAAGGAAAAAAAAAACAGTTTAGCCAGTCCAAAAAAAAAAAAAAGTTAAGCAAAAGGGACAAAATTAAAAAAAAAAAAGAGTAAAAAGAAAAAAAAAAAAAAAACCAAGCAAACAACACTTTCTCTTCGATCCCTTTCAAGCTCCCCAAGCCTCTCCACAACGAGGCTCGAGTACTCCTAGAGAGAGAGAGAGAGAGAGAACAAAAAGAGATCTGTGGCTCCAATCCAGAAAAATTCTTGCTTCTCTTCGACGAATACATTGGAATCGCATTAATGGGTAAGTCGAATCTCAATCTATAGTCCGAAAACGATTTTTTTATTTTTTTATTTTTTTATTTTATTTTTTTGCGAGTTTAAGATTCGTAAATTTTGCCAAAACTCAGTGACCCATTTTTGAAGATTTTTACTTGGGTCGTTTTGTTTGGTTGTTGTCGTTGTTATTGTTGTTGTGGTTTCGCTTTCGTCATTTGGGATATTTTAGCTGTATCCCAAAACGAAATCCTCTTGTTGGATTGTCAATTTAGCGATGCCCACTTTAAAAGAAAGCCATTTTCCTCTTGCTTAGAGTTCAAGAGCGCCTTTGCATTGTCTCTCTGTCCATATTTGTTTATGTTTCAAGCTTTTTATGTGCTTTTGTAGGATTTAATAGAAAAAAAGTTCATTAATGGGTTTTGCTAATGTATGTTCATATTGCTGTTACAGATTTTGTATATGAAGCTGATATTTGGATTCATGGAAACCCATTTTGGGGTTTTTGATCTTGGGGTTGTGAATGGGGAGAAGAGAATTCAGTAGAATTTAGAATTGGAGTTATCTGGTTGGGAGGTTGGAATAAGATTCTTTGTCGCGGACTGTCATAGGCGAGGGGTGAGTGCGGGAGAGAGGTGGATAGCGGTTTCTGCGTAAAAATGGGGGATGCCGCTGGCTTAGCAGAGGCTGCAGGATCAAGATTTAGCTCATTGGAGCTAATTGGGAGAGGATCATTTGGTGATGTCTACAAAGGGTAAGTGCCAATTTACAGATTGGTGTCATGTCATAATAAGCTTTTTTTATTGCAATGGACAACTTTTATTTTTGCCCACAATGTGCTTCAACATGGTTTCTATGTAGGTGTTTTTAAGTTTAGGGAAAAACAAGAAACTATGTATTGTTTTGGAGCTTTTGATGAATGTATAAAATACTCCCAAGAGTCAGGAAAGAAAGAATACACACACGCACATAATATTTGCAACTGAAATTTTACTTCAGTAAGGACCTGCTTTGGGATAACCCATGGGGTGTTGGTTGGAATGGTTAGGCCTTTTGGTTTGCTCCCACAAGGTATGAGGTTCGAACCACGTCAGAGGCACCTACATTACAAAAGTCATAGTTTCCTGCCTTTTAAAGATTGTAGGGTTTGGCGGGAGGCTCTAGTTTCAAACTCGGGCTTACAAAGTGAGTTTGGGGGATTTCTAGATATCAAAAAAAAAAAAAAAGGACTTGCTTTAGGATAAAAGAGAAAAAAAATGAGGATAAAATCTGGGATTTTAATGTTTTTTATAAGATGGAAAATTCATTTGTTCAGGGTTTTGCTTGGATTTATAAGAGTTCGTTTCAGGCTGTTCTTGGCAATTGAACATGTCCATGACCATCACTAAAAAATGTGGCTTTGACCTGTTTTGCTCAATGAGATATTTCGTGATGATAATCGAGGAATTGAATGGGGGGTTTTAAAGTTTTTGAACAGGCCAGCAATTAGGGTATGGCTGAGGCTTTTGTTTGGATGGAAAATAGTCAAGTCTGGAGCTGTTCTTGGTGTGGAGTGCAGTTATCAAAATGTTTCTGAAAAGGAATATTACTAATTTGATCTAATAGCGTACAACATGCCTATAGAACGAAAAGTTATAAGACCAATAAAATATTGATAAACAGTTATTCATGATCTAACTAATGTTGTTAAAGAGTTCTTCACTTTAAGTTGGTGTCAATCTCCATTTCTGGGGTTCCTTCACCTGATGATCATATTGTCTAGACTTTAGTCAGTGCCCCTCATGAAAAGTTGATCCTCTGGTTCGTGATGGAAGTATATATATTAAAAACAGCCTCCTTTGAATAGTCATTATGATTAACTACGAATGAAGCACTTTAATTTATGCTTTCTGGAAAAGTGGATGTCTGAAGGTTGGAATCGGCATGGGAATTGGGATGAATATTTCCTGCAGATTGAGCTGGTCGATCTTTGACACTTATTTTTTACATGCAGGTTCGACAAGGAGCTAAACAAAGAAGTTGCAATCAAAGTAATTGATTTGGAAGAATCGTAAGTATATGGCTTTTTTCTTATTCATTTGCTAGTTTTTTATGTTTATTTCCCTTCATCAGATTCTTATGTTTGCTAATCGGCTACATCACGAACTTCAAAAAACGTTTCCATCTTTTGGCTTATTGTTCTTCCTTTTTTTTTTTTTTTTTTTTTTTATACGGTGTAGGGCCTATGTTTCCCACTTTACACAAGAAATGAAACCATTTGGATGCTAACCCTGTTGGACACACGCACACACTCACGCACCCAACGACTCTAGCTACCCTCTGATGGTGCTTATTGTTCTTCCTTTTTAGTATCAATTGTTCAGCCTAAGGTGAACAAGTGAATCGAAACTTAGTTGAAAGGAAATAACTAGGGTTGTACTAGACCCATTTAACTATGTGGGTTTGAGAAAATGAAAACACAAAGAAAATTGTTTAATGTGAAAAAGTAGGGGTGTTCCCTGATTGGTTTGGGTTCGTTTAGAGGCTGAAATACAAAACCGAATCAAAAGTGTGGTTTATGATTATTTATGAAAACCAGACAAAGCCAAACCAAAATTTCAGTGAAAATCAAATCAAACCACATTCACACTTGATGAATGTTTGCTTTAGTTTAAGGTTGTCTTCTTTTATTGTTGGTTTTATTGCATGTCGTAATTTAGGGTGTCTAGGTTAACAGCTAAAGAATTTAAATGTGAAATTCTATCTAATCGATGAAGGTTGGGGTGAAAAGTGTTCGAGTCCCATGGAACACTAGTGTTAAAAATCCTTATGAATCTCTCAAAGGAGGAGGTCTCGAGAATTTTCCCTTCTCTCTTGAATTCTAGGAGTCACCTTTGCCTTTTTTTTTTTCCAGTATTTCTTCACCATCAATGAAAAGTGTCTGAGTGCTGCATTGTTCAACATGATGATGTAAATGTCTAGGGCTTTCTGCTTAACTTATCAATGATCATGAGTTGCCCTTGTTGTTCATTTTAAGGGCCTTGAGTTAGAACATGGCGGGCCATGGAATTATGTTTTGCTCTGGTTTCATTTATTTTTATAGAATCATAGAAGCAGATGATCTCCTTGGATTGTAAAATATGCTCCTCCCTTGTATGTTATTTGCTATTTCCATTGTCTTGCTGTCGGCCACTTCTAAACTTTGCTTTTACGTATTTCCATTTCAGAGAGGACGAGATTGAGGACATTCAGAAGGTACTACCTCATATTCTTCATGAATTGGTAATTTTTATATGACAACTACATCAGATCCAATCATTAACTTGTCTTAATTTTGTACCAGGAAATTTCTGTGTTGTCACAATGTCGCTCTCCTTATATTACAGAGTACTATGGTTCCTATCTCAACCAGACGAAATTATGGATTATAATGGAATACATGGCTGGTGGTTCTGTTGCTGACCTAGTACGTTACTTCTGTAGACTTGCATCTACAACTTTACACGCAAATGGAATTTCTATGGATTGACATATTTATGCAAGTGAAGAAAGATTAGGGATTTGAATTTCTTGAGACAAATATGCTTAAATTAACAATACTATGACAGACTCCAAAGGTTTTATTATTTTTCGACGATATATTTAGTTACTCTCTGCTTCTCTTCTGTGATGGGTTTTTTTGTCTCTGTAATAATTTAGTTAGCCTCTGCATATGCTTTCTCCTGCAGGTTCAGTCTGGTCCACCATTGGATGAAACGTCAATTGCATGTATTCTTCGGGACTTGCTGCACGCAATTGAATATCTACATAACGAAGGGAAAATTCACCGAGATATTAAAGGTTCTCTGTTTTTATTGTTTGCTTTATTGCAAGGTTCTCTTCTTTCATTGTTTGCTTTATTGCATGTGTAAAAGAGAAAGCTTAAAACTTTTATTAGGAGGCCCAAGGACTAGCTTTGAATATTTGATATCCCGTGCCTGAAGTGTCCTTGTTTTCCAGTTGGAGGATCATATCTTTAATTTATTTATTTATGTTTTATAAGAAGTATTAAAATGTACCTTAAAGAAAAGGGTCTTTAGATGCATCTTGTTGCAAATTCAATTTGGTTTGATGGTAACATTTGTCCTTAATAATTCTTGCAGCTGCAAACATTTTATTGACTGAAAACGGTGATGTCAAGGTATATCTTCATGCTTGTATGGGACTTAATAAATCTGAAGTGTTATAAGATATATATCAAAGGTTGCAATCAAATGTGTTTGCTTCAAGTCTTTGGTATTTCATCTTTGACTTTTGACAGGTTGCAGATTTTGGTGTTTCTGCACAACTAACAAGGACAATATCAAGGCGGAAGGTACCATCTCTATGAAATTAACTCTCTGTTGTTGGTCAAGTCAGAACAATTGGCTTATTGAAAGTTAATTATTTGCAACTTGCTCTTCAATCTCAACTTAGACTTTTTTAGTGGCCAGTGCTCACATCACGACCTGCTCTACTTTACTGACCTTAATCTTAGTTTATTTACTTGGCTCTGAATGATTTTTTATTTCCCCGTCTCATTTTCATGCATGTTTAATACGCTTAACATGTCTTCAACATTTTATTCAGCTTTCATTATTTTGTTACCTGACAGGATTTTTGTGATTTGATAACGTTTCTTAAGTCATAAATATAGTGGTTGTCACGACTAATTGAATCATATATCTATTTCTGCTAAGTTTTGTAAGGAACTGCTGAGATTGTATTTAAATGGTGGTTTCTAGATATGCTTTCTCAAGAAATGATTTAGTAACTGGGTACTGGGTACTCGTTCTATACTTCCCTGGCTCCCTTTCCAGATAGGACATGGGGGGCCTCTAGAATGTGGCCATTTATTTATTTATATATTTGTCTTTTGATGGGTGCGGTAAGGTGGTTGAACTTCATGATGTGAACTGTTTCTTTTCCATGCTAGTGGGATAAACGTTCTTTTAGCTGGAATTTACTAATTTGTTTAACAACACCAGACGTTTGTAGGAACACCCTTCTGGATGGCACCAGAGGTAATTCAGAATTCAGACGGATACAATGAGAAGGTATCTTGTAAAGCTATGTCTTGAATTTATTTATTTATTAATTTATTTATCCTTTTGTTATTTGATTTGTGTGGCTTTATTTATGCCTCCTGTCACATCCCACTCTCGCTGGATGGCACCTCATTCTCTTCGCTTTGGTTAGTATTGCTTAGCATTGATTACTGACGTCCTGTGCATGCAGGCAGATATCTGGTCTTTGGGTATCACTGCTATAGAAATGGCAAAAGGGGAGCCTCCACTTGCTGATCTTCATCCAATGCGGGTTCTTTTCATTATACCTCGAGAAAATCCTCCTCAGGTTATCACATCTTTTACACCACTCTCCAATTCCCCTATTTTTATGCAATCTTCTATTTGACTTATTTCTAATGAGTGATATTGAGAATGAAAAAATATTATCTAAACAGATAGAGACAATAGTGAAGTTAACATTTTTGTTTTTTATTTGAAATCGTTGTGCAGTTGGATGAACATTTTTCTCGTCCTATGAAAGAGTTTGTTTCGCTTTGCTTAAAGAAGGTACCTGCTGAGGTAAGTATTAGGTTTCAGTATGAATGATGCATTATATTTTAATTTCCGTGCTGCAGATGAAGGGAAGTCATGAATTCGTCCTTTTTCACTATATGTTTTGCTAAACTGGTCCTCTTTTTCTGTAAACAAAGTCTTTTGTTGTATTCAGTATCTGTGGGATTTGATATGGACTTGGATGTTTATATGGATATTGATCGTTAAGCACTATGTAAGCCTTCTTATGGTTTCATTCCCCCCTCTTTATCTGTTTCACTTTCAGCGACCTAGCGCCAAGGAACTTTTGAAGCACCGTTTTATTAGGAGTGCGAGGAAGAGTCCAAGGCTTCTAGAGAGAATAAGGTGCTATATTTTATATAAAGAGTTCTCGATATAACAAAGTTTTTCCTGTAGTGTGCGTCGATGGTTCTAAAGATTCTGACCTGGGTCTGTGCCAGACACAGACATGAGGTGGAAGGGACCTTTAAAACATCTCCTGCACCTTGTGGCTGTTTTGTAGCTTGTCTAACAGAAATCTGACTATTTATTCGGCTTGAGCGTTAATGTATCATATTTTAGCACGGTATTGACGCCCTGCACCTGTGATGTTGTCAGAGAGCGTCCAAAGTATCAAATAAAGGAAGATACAGATACCTATGGTCTTAAAGATGTAGGGGAGACATCTGACACCGTGAAGGTTAACAGAAATTTAATAGATGAAACTGTTCGAGCTAGGTGGGTCTACTTTTCTCTTGATTTGTTTTGGTTCTGTGCTGATTGATTGTGTGGGTAGATTTACTTTCCACTGTCAATTTCTAGTAGTAGTTTGATCACGACAGGATGGATACTAACTGACTTGCTCTGATTTGCAGTAATCAGGGTAAAACCTTGAAAAATGCGGGATGGGATTTCAGTATTAGTGGTTCACAAAGTACGGGTACAGTAAGAAGTGCTGTAAAACCACCTCAATTCAGAGAAAGAAAGCTAGAAGTTCTATATAACCAGGCGTCCCCTGGTAGACTTGCAGAGAGTGCAAACCGAGGCTCGTCAGTATCTAGAAATGCACCTGAAGATTCTTTTGGGAAAGATGCTAGAGATCAGGAAACCAATTATGAAGATGTAAGTCTATCTGGCCTACTATGTTTATCACATTCAATTGAACTAAAGATGGGGCAAGTATATTCAGTCTTCAGTATTGGTAATATTAGTCACCTCAGCTTTAGAATTGGTAAAAGTTGAATTTTAGAAACAATCCATGTGATTTCTAAATCCACAAGTAGTTATGGTTGCTGAACTTGCTTCAAGGTAGATTTTTGGCAAATATTTTTTATTGTATTTTTTTTAATCTGAGACCTCTCTCTCTCTCTCTCAATAAAAAGATTGCACTGTACATGGGCAGGATTGAAACCTAATAAATTGGCATTTTGAATGAAAAGTTTCCAAAGGTATTGCATACTACCTATTTTGTACAATATTAATAAATTGTTCCTATTTCATATCATAACATAGTCCGTCACTTTTTTTTCGTTTCTTTTTATTTTTTTGATTTTTTTATTATAACAATTGGCCGCTTATTTTTGACTAAAATGTAGATCAGGAAGCTTGATTTGTTGGATGCTTACAAATCTTTTGTAATGTTTATCATTATTTTCTCTTAGCTATTTGAGCTGTGTTATTTTCAGGAAGAAATGTCTGTCAGTGGGTCGGGAACTGTTGTCATACGAACTCCGAAAGGGTCTCAGTCATCTGCACAGTTTCATGATCAAACCTCTTTGGTATGGTCTCTGTGCATTATAAATTTACACTGTAATGGTTTCTTGCGATTCTCATTTTCTGTGCTTGCCAGTGCTTGCCTGTTATTGAATAAGCTATCCATATATTGTTTAGTCGAGCAGCACATATGCTTCTTTTGAAGATGCTTCTCCAAGTGGAACTGTTGTATTCCGCGGTCAGCATGATGATTCTGACTCTCCAAGAACCCCTAAATCCAGGCTAGGAATTCAAGAGAGAACGTCAAATGCCTCACTTGAAGACAGTGCCACAAACCTTGCAGAGGTTATTATTCTTTGTTCCGTCAATAAATCCTGGGATTGGCACCAGTAAAAAAAAAAAAAAAAAAAAAAAAAAAAAAAAAATAAAATGGTTAGGTCGACATGTGAAGTTAGGATCTGCTGGTCCTTTCATCTGTGGCATTTCTATTCCATTTGCGCGACTTATAACGCGAAAAAAAAAAAAGAAGAAACTTAAAAGACTCATGTAATGAAAATTCATCTTAAGTTTCCAAATGCATTAAATTACACATTTCTGTTTCCTAGTAGATATAGACGTAAAAACAAGCAAAATCTAAAACACAATTGAGAATCCTGAGATATGCCGTAGTATCTCTATCTCATCTTTTACAACTGGAAATTGGAATATTTTTCTTGTCCAAAATGTTTGTGATGGAATCAAAATTTGTTTTCGAGTAAAATAGAAGTGATGAATGTTTTATTTTTGGTTAACAATATTAATGCAGGCAAAGGCTGCAATGCAAGGAGGATATAAGAAAGGAAATGCCAGAGAAAGGTCTGCCTTGAGCAAATTCAGCAATGACGCGGTAGAAAACAGAAGGGATCAAATGACAAATAGCTCTGATTCTTCTAGGTAAATATGTTAGCTGCATGGGACTACTACTAGTATATGGGGTCTTTCATTTATTTATCCATGTTTTAAGGGGCTAATATACTATTTTCTGGATACTTTATTATTTCATAAACTTATTTGGATTCCTCAGAAGTTCCCCTGGTTATTTTGATCCACCAAAAGCAATTCCAAGAACAAGGGAAGGTATAGATGAGGAAGAAAACGCAAAAGTAGTATCATCATCTGTGCCATTATCAGTTTTGCTGATCCCTTCTTTGAAAGAGGTAATCCTACTGTAACTCATGAACTTAAACCTTTTCCATTTGTACGAGCTGTATGCTATATGTAAATTGTCTGTGCTTTTTATCACTTCAAAGCTACTTTATCTTGTGACAAACTAAGAATGTATTGTTTTAAATTACCCATGAAATTTAAACTTGCTATTTTTGTTCTGCTAGCATATTCTCTTATAAGCTTTGAATTCGAAACATATTCTTCCTTCGGTCCATGCAATTGCTCTACCTGTACATTTAGCCAAGACTCAAGGGCAATGACTGTGTTTGAGGAGTTGGGTTATTTACCTTTTTGTACCTTGTGTTTGTGGTTTTTGATTGCTGCAAATGTATACGATCAGATTACAAGTAGATTACATATAATAGGCAAACTCGCAACTTTTTTCGGTCACCACTCGATTTTGACTTCTTAAATTACCATATTAACTTTAGTGGCTATGATCCTTGGTTTTCTATTGCTGCAAAAATATATACATATCAAATTACTCCCACTGAGGTTAATTTGGTAATTTCATAGGTGGAAATTAAGTGTTGATCATGAAAATGTTCAAATTTACCTGTTAAATATAATCAGATGATGTACTTTTGCAGCACTTAGAAACCAAGGGTATACATTTCTGAGTAAACCTAAAACTAAAGGTAACAAAGATAAGTAACCCTTGAGAGTTTGATAGTTTTCTACATATAGCTTCAATTTGAAGTAGCTTGATCCACTGAAAATACATGATAATCTTATTCCTCAGATCTGTTATTTGTTTATTTTCTATAGTAAGAACAAAGATGTGAGAATCATAGTGAGTTAAGGCAGTCACTAGTTTCATTCAGGGTTATGCTTGAGCAGATTGATCATTAGCATGCCTAATTGTGAGAGCTAGAATGGAACATATGCGGTTTTAATGTAGTATGTTCCACCACTGTGTACAACATAGGCCATTGCTGATGATCCAGAAGGGCCCGTTGTGAGTGCAGTTGCAAATTCTCTCATCACTATGGAGCGATTGAAGCCGGGATCTTGTGAAGTTCTCATCAGCAGGTTGCTTCATCGATTATCAAGGTTCAAAAAGTTCCACGATTTATTACTCTTGTTTCGCAGCTCTAAGAACGGTTTTTATGTGTTTAATTGCTCAAGACTAATGTAGACGAAAAATCTTTGCAGTTCAAAGGAATCCTCATTGAAAGATTTGCATGAGCTAGCCGCTTATCTCTTCACGAAGGGCAAAACAGCTTCTGAAGAAACACAAAACGCGAATGCAGAAGCCGAGAACAAGAAAAAGCAGCCGAATAAGGAATTTCAGTCAAATGCCAATTTGAGTTCACTTGCGAGATTTTTGCTATCGAGGTTGGTGAAAAATATTTCTTTCCTTTATAATTCTCAAAAAAATATTTCTTTCCTTTATAATTTGTTTGAGAATTCTGTGGTGGGTACAAACAAATGCCCTTACCAATAGTCCATAGTTCTGGTTGATATAATTCTGATGATGTTCCTAAACTGTACGGTACTGGTAGAGTATTTTCTACCACAGAACTTTCATTTGTTTGATTTTAGTATAGGGGAATATAAAATGTTTCATAGGTATTCAGCCGTGAAGTCAATCAGACAACAACGTGATCCAACATCTGTTTGATACTTGCTTAAGAAAGGCCAAAAAAAAAAAGGTTTAGAGGGAGTAAGAAAAGATTGAGAAATACTATTGAATTGTTCTGGTTTTTCTCATTCTTTTCTCCTTCTCTTTGCCAAGTTGTTACACCAACTTCTTATGCTGAACCTTTATTAGATCTTATGTAGGAATTTTTGGACCACACAAAATTAACCCTATTTAAATGAAGAAAAGTGTTATTGGATATCAGTGGTATCCGACACCACAATTCATATAGAGTAGGTCTCATATAGGTGCAACTGCCATTTATCTTTTATGAGTTGTGGTGTCGGGCACTACTGATTCCTTTTACTATTTTTCTTCAAAGAATTTGGTCCCCTAAACAATGTGCAACTTCTGAAGCTGTCACATAATCACATCAGTTCGCATTCGTGTGCCTGCAGTTCCACAATAAACGTGTGCCTGCAGTTGTGTTTTTCTTTTCAATTCTAAAGACAACAAACTGGCCTATGTATGGAGGCTTTTTTCTCTCTCTGTTTTTTTTTTGTTGAAGAAAAACTATGTTCACTTTTTTTTGGGTTTTATATAATTTGGGAAATATTATTTTGCAGATGGCAAGGCCAAGCTTCAAGAGATCTCAACCCAGCTTAGAAGCACTCCAAGAGTGTCTACCTCTTTGATTGTAGCGTGATTCTCGTTTGTGCATTATTTTTCTTCTGATTCAATGTACATAACATTGTAAGAAGTTGTGTAGTTATTATCTGCTTAATTTTGTTATTTCTATCATCATTATTTTGGTTATAATTTTTCCATCTTAACAGTTTTTTTTTTGGTTGGTTTTAAGGTGGCAACATTGCTGTATAATTAGAAGGGTTTGATACAATGACATTTTTATCATTGTAATTTTACCAAAATTAACTTTTACTATTAATAATGCTCTTTTTCAAACTCACTGCCTTTTGAGCAGTGTTATTATTCAAATTCCATTTGTACAAGGCACAACATATAAGAAAAATACTAATATTAAATGTCAACAGCTTTTTCCCTCCAAAAATACCTCATTTGATTATTTTATGAAACTCACAATTAGAGTTACAAAACAAAGTTATTGCCAAATAGTCAGTTGCATTGCCACTAGGTGTTCTAATTTCTGAAGAATGTTGCAATAATTTAATGAGCTAAAAAATGAGAGCCTGACTTGTTCATCCGTCTCCGGGCACCTGTACAGAATTTTAAATAAGGAAAAATTCACCATACATCACATTTCATGTCTATGTTTGAAGTAATTAGGATGTTTTTCAAATAATAGAAAATTATAGCATATTCTCATTTTGCTTTTAAAATAGGAAATTTCATTTCCAATTTTACTCTCTAGGGTTTCCTTGTTTATTTCCCCCCTCTCAGATTCATTTTAACGGTCTCTCTCAGATTCATTTTTAACAGTGTCTCTCTACATCTCTCTATTGTTTCTCTCTCTTAAGATTTTTTATAAACCCTTTCTCTTGCCTTTCTCTCTCCTCGCACCGTGAGGGATCTTTGCCAAGATCGGCTACCGTTTGAGATCGGGATTTGCCATTTTCCGTCCTTTCTTCGTCCTCATCAAGCTAGTCACTAGTACTAACAAGATTTGGGGATCACGCTGATGTCGTGAACTAAATCCGGCCAGCCGAGATCTCAATTGTTACAAGGATCGGCTTTATCGAAGATGGTGTTGACGCCGTTCTACACATAGAAATCGTTCGCTTTTCTCTGCAACTGTGCTATTCTCTTTGGTTTTGTTTAGTGTTTTTTGGTTTTGTTGGGTTTTGCAGGTTTTGGGTTTACATCTTGTTTGGCCGATGGGGTTTGGACGGCGAGGCGTGGCCGGCAGGGTTTAGGTGGTGAGGCGTGGCCGGCATGGTCTAGGCTACGAGGTGTGGCCGGCAGCGTGGACGGCAGGTTGGGCTGGTGGGAAGAAAAGATTAGGGGCTGATTTTAGGGTTATGTTTTTAATTTGGGTTTTATTTTGGGGTTGATTTTGTAATTAAAATAATCTTGGAAGAAGTTTTTGTAAAGAAATGATTTATTTGTCATTTTTTAGTTTATATATTTTATGTTAAATTAACACCCAAAAAATAGTAAATACTGTAGTGTATTTATCGGTTGCCGGAGTCGGTCACTGAATTTTCAGATAAATATAGTATTTACTAGTAAATACGATATATACTAATAAATGCTGTATTTATCAGTCGCCGAAGTCGATCTCTGAATTTTCAGATAAATATGATATTTACAATAAATACAGTATTTAACAATAAATATGGTATTTACCAATGCCGGAGCTGATCGCCAGATTTTCAGATAAATACGGTATTTATCAATAAATACGGTATTTACCAGTAGCCAGAGACTGTTGCTGAAATTTTAAACAAATATAGTAAATATAGTATTTGTCAGTAAATACATTATTAAACGATAGTCATAATCAGTGTTTGAATTTTCAGATAAATATGATATATACAAATAAATACAGTAGTTATTGGTAAATACAGTGTTAAACGGTCGCTAGAGTCGACGACTGAAATTTTGAGTAAATATGATATTTATTAGTAAATACAATATTTATCAGTAAATACAGTGTTAGACGAATAATGGAGTCAGTGCTTAAATTTTTCAGATAAATATAATATTTACTAATAATTATGATACTTACTGATAAATACGGTATTTACTAATAAAAACAATGTTAAATTGTCACTGAAATCAGTGCTTAAATTTTCAGATAAATATAATATTTACTAGTAATTACAGTATTTATTGATAAATATGATATTTACTAGTAAATATAGTGTTAAACGGTCACCGAAATCAGTGACCCAATTTTTGAGTAAATATGATATTTACTAGTAAAAACGATATTCATTAATAAATATAATATTTATCTATAAATACATCATTAAACGGTCGCCATAACCGGTATGATATTTACTAATAAATACGATGTTAAATGCTAAATACGGTATTTATCAGTAAATAGTGTTAAACGGTTGCCCAAAAACAGTCTCTAAAAAACAATCGCAAGAAAACGGTCACAGGTCGCCAGTCTTTAAAGGGGAGGAGTGAGGTGGAAAAAGAGATTTTAAGAGTATTTTTAAATTTTTAATAATATTTAAAACTTAAAATGTTAAATTATGCTACAATTTACTATTTTTAAAAAATATACTATAATTTACTAATCACTTTACTAATTATGCTTGTCCCTCCTTATCCCTTTAAAAAAATGCTCGTGCGAGCAATAAGCCTCTGATTCGATGGGGTACCAAGGAAAAGCAAGAAATTCAAGGTCAGATGCTATCTGCAAAATTTTGAACCATCTTCCTCTCCCGGCGTTCCTGCACCAGAGGCGAAGCTATCAATCATGTCCCTAGTAAACATGCCTTGGACTGTATAGCCAAGCATAAATTCTGTTTTAATTACTTGAACCACTACTTTCATTTCCCTCCACGCCGTTGCTTTGCAGGAGCCAGTTTCCGAAATGCAGCGTGCAGAATCATGGCTGTTAACAAAAAAAAAAAAAAGTAACAATATTAACAGCTCATGCGATTTTCTTTTAGTAGAGTAGAAGAAGAAGAGGAGCAAAAAAAAAAAAAAAAAAAAGAGGCTCACGTGGAGTTAAAGGAGTGCCAATAAGTGAGAAGGCATATATGTATTTGACGGTTACCTGCATAGCTGATGCCCAGTGCACAGAAGAGAGCCATTTGAACGTTTGAATACATCATAACAACAGCACCTACTGCAAACATGAGATTCAATTGATGTTATAGAAGCATTACCAAATGATATTTACAAAATCTTCTGATTCTTGAAACCCTGAGAAAGCGCTGAAGAAGGGTTGTTCTTTTGTAACAAAACTCAGAAGTAGTTTAAACTCAAGTTACAATTTTATTTAAGTTTACGTTCTTTTAAGTTCCAATTTTATTCAACTTTACTCAACTTTATTCAAGTTACAACTTCAACTCAAGTTATAACTCAAATTCAACTCAAAAATTACACTAAAGTCACGCTCCAAAAGAACAACCCCAAATCGAAGATTTAACAAAATAAAATCAAAGTAAAAGATAAAAGATAAAATATAAAAATATAAAAAATAAAAATCTTAGTCATTGCTAATAAGCCACGTGACGTAAAAAGAGACACCTTCGTCTGATGAGGATGGAAGAATAGTACGCAGGACTTTGTACTCGCTCACATCAAGCAAAATCAAAGGTAAGAACAAACTGTATTAATGTAATTGGTGTTCGGAAACACGTGAGATTATTTGAGGTGAAGTTGTATTGAATACCCAATATAATCGAGTACCTCATCCACTCTATCTTTGAGTGAGCTCCAAATGCACAAGGGAAAATCTTTCCTAGAATAATAGCTAGATGGAATTGCCGCGATATACAGCAAAGTATAGATTAAACACAAATTAGCTATAAAAAAAAACAACAACTCACCGCATTGGGATAGACGAACCACACATTCTCGAGCAACTGGATAACAATCCAATCCCCATTTCTCACTACAAAACTTAAAAACATCCCATAGTGCCAGGCAAGATATCAAGCCAAAGAGAGCAACTGGCATTTGATACCTGCAAGGATCAGAATAAACAAAATTCCGTTAGACAGGTTCTAAAAGTATGGACCAGAACTGTTGATACATTTCAAAGAGCACCAAAGGTGGAGAAAAGAATAGAGGTGCGTTAATAGTATTAGCCAAGAAAATGTTGAGACGATGACGACAATTATATTAGCATGGTGACTTCAAAAAGAATCTAACTTCTGCATTAAGCCACCATTATTCTCCCCTCCTCTCATAAATTTGACATGGAAAGAATTTCATAAGCAGCCAAACCACTCTATCGTCTTTCAATCTCTACAACATTACCACGATCAGTGCAATCGCTATTCATATTCAAACTCATGAACACATTATTTGACTTCAGAACCAATATAACTGAAACGTCAGATTGACGTGAGCATGCCACAAGTTCAATTGACCCTTATGTTCCATTCGATCCTGATAAATATGGCAATATAAAACAAAAATAAAGCTTTAAAGCTAAAATATTTCCACGGTTAAAACAAGAGAATCATCTCAAAGAGACACCGACTTCCAATTTCCCTTTATCATTAGTCCCTTTCTGCGGAACAAGACTAAACTCAATTCTCAAAATACGCACGAGATTTCTGTTGGACCAGATTTCAACTACCCAAAAAATTGTTTAACCTCCTTTGAAACCAAAGAATTCTCAAAGCAAACCAAAAGTTTAATCCTGCCACAATTTCATAATCTAGAAGATCTCGAATTCTCCTCGGCAACATCATGAGCTCCCACACTCGGTAACGCCAAAACTAATCCTCAACTGAAAAAACAAATCACAACTAGCTCTTGTTAAGAACATTGCCAATTTCACTCAATATAATACCACCTCTAACAAATTCCCAACAAAAGAGAGTGACTTTAGGACCTGTGTATTGAGCGAGGGATTCAAAAATACTCGGAAGAACTGACTTTTATCCCACCCAATCTGAGGAATAACTGGGTATAACTTTTTCACTTAATTGGACTATGATGCCAAAATATTTTACTACCCTCTCATTATTGAAGAAAACTAACCAACTAAGAATGAAGTAATAATTATACAAATTGATCTTTTTCATTTCTTCTTTTCTTTGTTATTTCTTCCTTCCTCTTGTATAAAACCCCATAATCAGCCTCAGTTATATACCTCTCCCTCCTGGCAAACAAAGCGTCAATATATCTTATCCATCATCTTCCCAATTCTCACAATACAACAAAAATTCAACACACAAATAAAACTACCTGTTCTAATTTCCTATTTCGTCAGTTTGTATCTATCAATTCAGCAATCAAAACAACAGATTCGCCTAAATAGACATCAAATTCAATTTTTTTTCCCTTAGAAAATCCTAATTTTCTAAAAAAAATGCAGAGAGAGAGAGAGAGAGAGTGTATTACAGCGTGCAAGCGAAGAAGAGGATGAAGAGAGAAGCGTAGTTGCGGGCGTAGCGCTTGACGTTCTCCTGGACGCGGAGGCGAGCCTGGGAGGCGGAGGAAGGGAAGGAGTACGCGTCGGAGGAGGCGAAGAAGGCGGCGGTCCACGGCGGCGTCTGGGCGGAGAAGTCATCGGAGGAGAGCTTCGCGAAGGGATTAAAGCTGAGGAGAGAGAGGAACGTGACGAGGTGAGAGAAGAGCGAGACGAAGGCGCCGGTGACAGTAGTCGTAGCGGCAGCGGCGGCGGAGGTGGAAGCGGAGGTTGTGGCGGCGGCGGCAGAAGAAGAAGAAGATAGGCGGTGGAGGTCGGAGGTGCGTTGGTCGAGGAGTTCGATATAGCCGCTGTCGCGGAGCCATGATTCGAAGGCTGCCTCGGGAACGCTGAGGGACAGCGGGTTCGACGAGAACGCCATCGCAAATAATCTACTACTTCCACAACGGTGAGACTGTTTTGTACGTCTCGCGTTATGTGTGGTGACACAAAAAGGTTCACAAGAGAATAATAAATTTTAAAAATATGTATAAAATTAATGACATCTTCATTTCATAACTCAAATTATAAGTTAGTGTATTCGCAACTAAGTCATAACATGAATTATAACTTCAATTATATATGTGAGAAAAAATTATTGTAGCAAAAATATTGATTAAATTTTTATGAATAAAAACACTATAATAATAACACTTAAGTTGTGATTTGAATTATGAAATGAACAAATCTTAAATTCCTAAATTGCTAGTGTTGACTGTGTTGTTTAATTTTCATTTCTAAATTTTTAATTTTAGTAAAGTAGTCGTCAAAATTTTTAAGTTTAATCATTTTGATCCCTGACACTTAAAGGGATGTTTATTTTTAATATTCGTTTTAGATTTTAAATCGCGATTTATAATTTTTTATAGTATTTTTTTCTCATAAAAAATATATATAAAATAAGAATAATTCTGCATCATAATTTTAAATTTATGAACCAAACGCTCAATTAAAGACGTAAATTTAAGCCGGCAATCCGAATAGTAAAATCAAGTCTATGACTTGAAGAATAAAAATGGGTTAGATTTGTTCGACGCACCCTAGTTCCAAATAGTGCTGAAAGTTCGGGCGGCGAGCATGCCCGATGCCCAAAAATTTTCAGGCACGGCGAGTAGGCGTCATTCGCCGCCCATCCGACCATTTTGGCCGGGCATGAGCTCGGGCAGCCCGAAAAAAATCAATTCCGGCTGCCCGTTGCCGGTAGAGGAGTCGACCTCGCCGCCCGCCGGATTTTTTTTTAATTTTCCCGCGTAACCTGAATTTTGTCCGAATATGCCCGAATTTTTTTGACCGTTAGCTCGAATTTTGCCCGTTGCCCGAATATGGCCAAATTTTTTTGACCGTTAGCTCAAAATTCTGCACGAATTTTGAACCCAACGGCTCTTTTTGCCCTACCCTACCGTCGCCCGAATTTCAAACCCCAACGGCTACTTTTAAGACCGTTGCCTGAATTTGCCCGTCCCGACCCAAATGCCTGAATTTCACATAGCCGTTGGAACCGAATTTTTGGGGGAAAACAAAAAATTTCCTATAAATATCCCCCCTCCCCCAACCATTTTTCTCACCCAAAAACTATCATTCTCTCTTAATTTCTCTCAAATCTCTATTAATCTCTCTTAATCTCGCTTAAATCTTTCTCGATCTCTCTTAATCTCTCTCAAAGCGCTCTCAATCTCTCTTATTTTTCATAATGGCTTCTTCTGGTTATGGTGGTGATATTCCCATTGGTGCCTAATTCAACATCGAAGAAGGACAATTTCCTAATGTTTTTCAAATGTAAGAATCACAAACTACATAAAGAGTTGTTAAGGAAACTGTAAATTCGAGCTCTGGTGGACGTACTAGAGGTCGTGGACGTAATGGTGGTGACACTGGTGGGCGTGGAGGAGAGGCAAGCGGTAGTGCTAGTGTGCAAGTGTTGGAAGGTCTAAGAAGAAATGCAAGCGCACCTCAGCAGTTTTGGAGCACTTCAACACATTCGAGGAGGTCGACAATAACGGTAACATTAAATACATAGCTCAATGCAAATATTGTGGTGATAAATTACAAGGTAACACTATTCATGTCACTACACACTTGAGAAGACACTCTAAAAAGTGTCTTCAAAAGTAAGGAGGCGGACACGATCTCCGCCAAACACAATTATCATTTGACTGCCAAACCAACGGTCTAACCACTTGGAAATACGACCCGCAAGTCGATTGTATAGAAATGGCACGCTTAGTAGCCACATTAGATCAACCACTTAGTTTTACTGAACAAAAGAATTGGCAGCGTTATATTAAAATTGTACATAATCCTAATGCACAATTTTTTTCATGAACTACTCTTAGGAAAGATGCATTAAAATTATATAAACAAGAAAATGAAGCATTAATAAACCTTTTACACTCTACTAGTGGTTGCGTTGCGTAAATATCCGCCGTTGCCAACAAAGATTATTTAGCTGTAACCGGACATTATTATAAAGGTTTTGATTTGGATAAGAGAATATTAGGTTTTAAATGTGTTATAGGATCACATACTGCCAATTTAATATATAACACAATTTTATCTGTCATTGATGAATATAGTTTAAGAGATAGAATAATGGCCATAACATTAGATAATGCAATTGTAAATACTAAAGCAATATAACTTTTTAAAAATGATTTAAGTTTATTCGGTAATAATGATATATTTCACCAACGTTGTGCATGTCATATAATTAATTTAATAGTAAAATCCGGTTTAAAATCAATGTCATGTCATATTAAAAGAATTAGAGATAACATTGCTTGGATTTAAGGTAGTAATAAAAGAATACAAGATTGGTTTAGATTTTTACAAGCATGTAATCAAAATCCTAGAGCATTAGCCTTAGATATGCCCATAAGATGGAACTCCACTTATATAATGCTTGAACAATGCATCCCCTATAAAGATGCTATAACAAATTATGTTAGTGCAAAATTAGGACCAGGATTTATAGATGAAACTGATTGGCAAATTGCCGAACTCTTGTTTAACTTTTTAGGTAGATTTCACAAAGTTACTTTAAAGCTTAGTGGAACTTATTATCCAACACCACCATTAGCGTTAGGAGAACTTTTAAGAATGTCTATTTTATTTAGTGAATTTAGGACATACGAGATTTTAAGAGTTCCAATTGCCTCTATGGAAAAGAAGTTTAAAAAATATTGTTCTAAATTACCAATGTTGTATGGTTTCGGTGTTATTTTTGACCCTAGATTAAAATTAGATGGTTTAGAAAGTGGATTAGATACCTTAGGTGACTTTTTAGCTATCGACACTACTGACCAATTTTCTATTATAAAGGAAAAAATATTTTCTCTCTGTAGCTCTTATGAAAGTATGTTTAGAAACACACCTCGTGTAGAACAGCCGCAACAACGAGACAACAATCCCCATTCATTCTTGAATGTTTTCGGGTTGTCTAAGAAGAAGAAGAAGACGACGACGACGACTCAAGGTCAAGAAGAATCTGGGAGTGGGTCTTCATCAAGAGGTGGTGGCAACAACGACGGCTTCAACGAGTTAATGGCGTACCTAAGTGAGGGCTTAGTTGTAGACAATAGTGAAATGTTTAATTTGGTTCAGTGGTGGAGGGCACGAGCATTAACTTGGCCGATCCTAACACGACTAGCAATGGATATTTTTTCAATCCCGGTCTCTATTGTGGCAGCCGAACAAGCATTCAGTACAACCGGCCGAATACTTGAAGAACGGAGAAACGCATTACAACATGATATTGTTGAAGCTTTGGTGTGCATCAAGGATTGGGATCGTTCCGGCCAACGCTTACACGATATAATCTCACCTGTAAGCCAAGAATGGATCGATGAATTTAATAGATTAACTTTTAATTTTCAAGACGATCCTTCTGCTTCAAATTAAATTTTATTATTGTAATTTGTAAATATTTATTTACTTTGTATAGTGTCATTATAATCTTGTATAGATTTTATAAGTTCGTCAAATTTGTATAGACTTTGTATTGACCTTAAGATATTTCTTTTATTCTTTTTAAACGATCAAAAAATGAAAAAATAATTAATATATTTAAAATAATTATATATTTATAAAATACCGTCTCAATTTATTTTATTTTATCGACTAAAAATTTACAATACGTATTAATTTCGTTATTGGAGCTAGTTGGTATTGTTTTTTTTCCGCCAACCACACTCGGAAGAATTTCTAAGAAAGAAGCAGAGAATGTGGAGCAGTAATTTCGTCAAACATCTGTCGTGCACTCTAACCTCTTGCAACTTCCACAAACTCTCATCGTTCCCTCGCTTCGTCTTTTTCTTTACAAAAGCTCCCAAACAACCGACAGAGTTAACCAAACCCACTTCCGCTTGGTTTTCTCCAAATATCTCTGCTTCTCTATCTTCCTTAGCCTCTTCGGAAACTTCCCAAACCAATTCCTATGTTTCTCCTTATCTCTCAGTCGACATTCGCTGTCACAAAGATGTCGTGGTTAGCTTCTTTCTCTCGATTTTGTTTTTTTTTCTGTTTAGACTTCATGTGGGGTTTTCTTCTTTTGCTCTTTTTCTCGTTTGATTGCCGAGAAAAAACAGTGGAAATATAAAAAAAAAAAAAAAAAATTGCCCATTTTGGGTTAATGAGCAAATTTTACTTCTGACATTTTGTACTTTAGAGCTATTTTCAGCATGAATTTAGACTGAAATTTGATATATATATATATATATATATATATATATAGAGAGAGAGAGAGAGAGAGAGAGAGAGATGATGACTGGTTTGTTGACAATTGACATGGTGTTTGTTAAACTAATAGAGTAATTGGGTTACGATTGGTAAACTTTGGTTTTTTTTTTTTTTTGATAAATTACTTTTACCTTTTCCTAAACACATGGAGGGCTCAAACAAGCAATTTCTCTTCATTGGTGTTTGACGCCATTTCTAAAAATATTGCACTTGGAGAACTACTACAGTTGGTTATGAAGATATCATTTCTTGTATGATATCATAATTTGACACCAATAACCAATAAGGGCAGCAGTGACATCCACCTTCTATTAGTGATTAGTGGTGGTGCTTAGTACCGGTATTACCCCAAGCGTTTTTCGATATCACTGACTACTTTATTAGGAGTGCTATTGTGCATCAATGGTGCCCGACGCCACAATTTACATGAAATGTGTCACACAAATGGATCTCACATGCATGTAGAACTCAGTTTGTGTGAGTGGTGGTGTCAGGCATCTCTTATGCGTCTAGCATTGAACCCACCTCATGTGAACCCATAAATGCGTAGATAAATATAATGCAACTAAATATTAGCGGCTTGGATTACTATATGAAGCATAAGGGTTTATTATGATTCAGAAAACTCATTTTAGAATAATTCTCAGTTTACGTGTGTTTTTTGTGAAAGAAAACATTGTAGCGAGCCACGAACCATGATCCGAACCATGGCACGAATCCTTACTCCAAATGCAGTATATTTTATGTGACTGATTCACTATGTCATTAAGGCTTTAAAAAGCCCTGTATGCTTCTTTTTGTTGCCCAGGATATGCTTTCAGAAGCTCTTTTATGCTTTGGCGCAAATTCTACAAGTATTGATGAAAAAGATACAGATGAAAGTTCTGATGAGGTAAACCCACCAATCCATTGTCTCTTACACAGTCACACTATTGTTTGTATTTGATGTGACACGTTTTATATTTCATTCCTCTTGTTCTTGTTTTTGTGTCATTTTTTTCCCGCTCTTTTAAATTTTCAAGGCAATTAGGAATAATCAATGAGCTACGGGACATGAAGATAAGATCATAGCAAAAGTACTGTTCTGGATATTACTTTGGGATAGGACTATAAATCCATTATTGTTAATGAACTTATGCCAATTTGACAACGCAAAGATCCATGTTTGCCGACTGCTGTGAGTTGTTGAGCCGACATAAGGAGATTGCGGTTCGAGAAACACGTGTTTATGTCCTAGAAACAATGTGAAACATCTTCCATCATTTATGTTTTGCTGCATACTTGCATTGTTTCCATGTTGTCTGTTCATATTCGACAAATAATATGCTAAATGGTATTCATAAGCCCAAAACCTGAAAGTGTCAGTCTCTAGCAAGAATCTGCCTTTTTTGAAAAGTTCTTTTTAAGGACAGTCATATTGTCTATTATAACATTATTTATTCCCCTTTTTTCTCTCAATTCCTTGGTGACAAGAGAGAACAGAAAAGGTATATCAAGTTATTTTCTGTAAAGGTATGCTTATGAGTCACTTTGTTGCAGATTTGTATCAATTCCATATTTCCTGAAGGTCACGACATAAACTCGTGCATTTCACATGCTGCTGATTCCATAGGCTTGAAGGAACTACCTAGATATGAAGTTAGGGTGGGTGAGCAATATGATTGGATAAAGAAAACCCAGGTTGCTCCTTTTTTTATTCTTTTTTTCCCCCTGTTGATCTTATTTAAAAGTTTTCATTTTCTTAATTTTATCACATACTTCTAATTAAAGTAACCGTGTTGCTGATTACGTACTAACTCTAGATGCTTTTGCTTTACCATATTTACAGGAATCATTTAATCCAGTCAAAGTTGCAGAAGGACTTTGGATTGTGCCCGAGTGGAAAACTCCCCTGGTATGATCATCTCAAAATATGTTTTCTAAAGTTTTTTTCTTGAAAGGTCTCTTGCCATACATATGCGATCGGCTTGTTCGTCAAATCTGATTGGCTTTTATATTTTTGAACATTTCATCATATAGTTGATTTTTTAATTTTTATTTTTAACTTTCTGCTGGAACTGGGGTTCCTTTTTCATTCATACTAGTGGACTGCAATTCTAGATTTGGATCACAAAGATAAAATTAATCTTTAGAGCTAACCTTGACGTATAGAATCTATATAACATTTCTTTTTTTTTTTTGTTGTTCAAACAGGATCTTCAAGCGACAAACATAATACTGAATCCGGGACTAGCATTTGGAACTGGGGAGCACGCCACCACTAAGTTGTGTCTCTTGCTGCTGCACGGTTTGATCAAGGGAGGAGAACACTTCTTGGACTATGGCACGGGTTCTGGAATTCTTGCAATTGCAGCATTAAAGGTATACGTTTATTAGTGAATCAATCTTGTATCTAAAACCCAAGTGAAAACTCATTTATAAAAAATTCACATTATTGCAAACGTAGAGTATCAGTAATTTCCTTTCAGATTATGAATTTATGAGCTAAACTTTGATTAAGACTCATTTTTTCACATCATCTTATTTCTGTAGAAACCTGAAACAAAGGCATAAAATCTTGAAAGCATCTAATTTCTTTTAGGTGGATTTTTTTCCCCTTTTAGGAACTTTCTTTCCCAATGGTTAGAGTAGAAAGGTATTTTCTTATCTTTCTTCCTTTTGTTTTGTTTTTGTTTTTGTGTTTTTTTTTTGGCCAAAATAAGAAATATTGGGACATTGTTAAACATGGAGAGACGTCAAAGATGATTATTAATAGTTGGTTTCTATAGCAATTAAAGATATTACTACTATGCAATTTTTTGTAGTGAAAAGCAGTTTAGAAGCAGAGTATATGGTAAGCTCATGGTAAACTTTATTATCTATTATTTTTTCTTGACCAAACGAAAAGTTGTAATACTTTTTTCTATGTGCTGCCCCCTATAAATACAAGTTTCTTCTAGTAGAACTTTCCAACATAAATGTGAACCTTCCAAGAATTTGTAGCTTCTGCACCTCCTCCTTTTCGATGCTTTCAAGAATGTTCCTAGCAACTGGCTGCTTTTTCTTTCCTTTTTCCCTAGTTCATTCAAAATAATGCAACAACGATTGTGCCAGATAATTCATAGATCCTAACTTCTCATCTTGACTGGGAAATGCAGTTTGGTGCTGCCTTATCAGTTGGAACTGATATAGATCCCCAAGCTATTGCATGTGCTCGCGAGAATGCTGCTCTGAACGACATAGGACCCGAGAAAATGCACCTACAGCTTATTCCCGAAACAACCAGCCCCGGATTGAGGAATTTATGTGGAATTCCAGAAACAGAGAACTTGATTGAAGTGGTGCCAGAGACAGAGAAATTTGACGTCGTAGTTGCAAATATACTATTGAATCCTCTATTGGATTTGGCAGGGAACATTGTCTCTTATGCCAAGCCTGGAGCTGTCGTTGGTGTCTCTGGTATTCTGTCTGAGCAGGTAAATTCCGATGATAAGAAATAAGGGGAATTTCTACTTATCATTAATAGGAAAAAAAGGAGTGTTCCCTTTCCCATCTATTCCCGTGGGGCCCACATGATTTAGGGAATGAAAAAAAAAAAAAATTTTAAGTTATCCTTTTGTTTCTTGGAACCGGGATAAACTACAAAATTACTTTTTAGCCAAACTAAATCTTAATCAATATATTTATGTATAAGAATACTACTTAAGCCCTATTGTGAACGTTAGTATGCACTAGAAAAGGTATTAGATGGATTGTTTCCAATTTCACTTCCTAATAATGCTAAAAAGGAATCAATAACCTCCTCTCTTATTTCTCATCTTTCCTGTCCAAAACCTTCCCTTTCCCATTGCATCCTATTGTGATTTGATATACATACTCCAAAAATATGCTATAGCTAGAAAAATCAAATTTTCACATGGTTCAAAATAATTTAGTTAAAGTACTACACTTCTTGGAGGATTTACTTTGGCCAGATTTGGGAATCAAGATCGATATGATGGTAACGAATTCTTCGACCTGATCGTTATTTATATATTTATCTATATTTATTTTTTGGATCATGTGTTTCATGCAGGTTCCATATATTATGGAGCGATATTCACAGTTCTTGGAAGGCATATCAGTATCAGAGATGGATGATTGGGCCTGTGTATGTGGCACAAAGAAAAGAAATGTTTCTGCTGCAAACTGAGAAATGAAACCTTCTTTGTTAAACCAATTTCCAAGCACATGCTCTGTTATTGTTAAGTTATTTTCAACTAGTTGTGCCTTGTGCCAGTGAATTCCAATTAGCCTACTTGGGACATGACCATTTCCCATAATTGCGCCTTTCATTCAACCATTACATAGTGAACCGTCTTCTGTTTTCTCTCTCGCTTTCACTTTGGTTCTTTTCCGCCCTCCTAGGAAGCTGCATCGTTAACCTTTCATGTATGTTTACTCTTATCCCGCAGGAGTGGCTCCAGCACGTCGGAAAGCTTGAGGATTTTGCGCAGAATGCTCAAAAAACAGCAAGATACAGTCCAATCGTAATAAAAGAAGTCTGCAAATTTTGTAAAGAACGAAGAACGAAACATTATTTAAGCCTGGTTTCTAATATGATATTCATACCTTCTGAATGGTATTTTACCTTATTTTTTGACCATACATATATTGAACAACAACCTCTAAAGTTCTTCACCTTGGGAGGCTGATCATGCTCATTTTGTTGTTTCATTTGGCATAACAAGTTATCATCTTCTTTACTCAATAAAATAATAGGTCTTACAATACAGTGAAAAGGTTGAAAGTTTAAACTAAGGTTGAAAGTTTCATCATATAGTGGAGGTAAATGGGTGGTTAACTTATGGTTAACATATACCTTTTTTTTTTTTTTTTTTTTAATGATTGATTTTTATGGTCATTAGTAAAAATAAAAAAAATAAAAAAAAGAGTAAAAAATTGAATCATAAAAACAATTTACAAATTGATAAAATGTAGGAAAAGACAAGATAAAAAAGTGGGGAATTAAGGTCTCGTTCTTTTCGCAGATTCGAGTTTTGAATTCGAATTAAGATATAACGTTTTATGAGAGCTCTTAATTGTAGCAGAAAAAAATAGATGTGACATTTTCTGAGAGCTTTTAACTATAGAAACTTAAAATTGAAAACTTGAATAGGTAAAATGAATAAGGCCTAAAAATTTTATTAAGTTAATCAATGAACCGAAAAAAATCCTATTGGGATAAAGAAAGTATAAGCAAGAGTGCACTATTGTTACATATTTCAGTGCATAACGATTCAAGATGTGCCTATGCTTCTCTAATGCTATATTTGGTATGATAGAAAAGAGGAAGAAAGCTGGTGGAGGTATTATTGAGTGTAAAATGATAAAGTGAGTTGTTTGATAGAAAAGAAGGGAGTAAAGAAAGGAAAATAGGGCGGATAAAAGTTGTGAAGTCCACTGAGTTTTATCCCTCCTACATTGAGTGGAAAACTTAAATCCAACCATTGATGACTAAAATAAATTTTTTATCCCTATTTTAAAGCTAATTAATATTAAATAGAAAAAATTTCATTTTGATACATTCTGTTATATCAAAATTTGAGTTTGGTATTTTTTATTTTTGAAAATTTTATGCCAGTACTTCGATCTTTTAAAAAATCTTTTTTTAGTACATCGGAGTCATTTTTTAGGACACAAAAAGACAAAATCGCTCTTATTGTAAAAATTGATTTGTTGACTAGAATTTTGAAGAAAAAGAAAGGATTTTAAATAGATGAATTTTTTAAAAAATGATTAAGCTCTATAGGTATAACAATTTTTAAAATCTTTTTTCCTTTCAAAATTCTGGTCAATTGATGAATTTTTACAACAAGGGCAATTTTGTGTTTTTGTGTCCCAAAAATGGCTAAGGTACGAAAAAGAGATTTTCTAAAAGGTCAAGGTACCAGTATGAAATTTTTAAAAACAGAGGATACCAAACTCAAATTTCGATATAACAGAGAGTACCAAAATAAAATTTATTAGTAAAATAGTCATTTAGTCTATTACATATTTCTTTCCTCCCATCATACCAAACAACGTAAAGGAAAAGGAAAGAATTTCCTTTCCTTCCATTTTCTTTCAATTCTCTTTTCTTTTCCTCTTACCAAACGGAGTGTAAAGCCCGAGAACATTGTCATCAAGGAATAAGTTCCCAAATTGTTGCATCAATTCTTGATTATCTGTTGTATGATGCATTTGATGCGAAGTATGTTCCCAATCTTTAAGGCCTCGTTTATTTTACTGATTAGAGTTTAGAATTCGAGTTTTGTTACAGTAAAAAGTTCTCGGAAACAGTTACATCTAACTTTTTTGCTACAGTAAAAAGCTCTCACATAAAAGCTTAGTTTGGTATTACTTTTTCCTCTCAAAATCAACTTCTGCTTGTAGCAGAAGCTAATTTTAGTGTTTGGTAAATCTCCTCCAAAATACTTTTTAAAGAAATTTTCAAGAATCTACAGCTAAAATCAGAAGCAGCCTAAAGACAACTTTAGCTTTTAGATTGTGCGGGAATCAACATAGTACAATTAATAAAACTTTTATAATACCCATAATACCCCAATGAAATTTAAAATTTACAATCTTCCCAATTTAAAATTCAGACTCGTAATATAATATAATATTATAATAAATAATATCATAATTATATTAATAACTCTAATATTATTTTTTTATTATATAATATGATATTATAATAAAATTATAATTATTTTAATAATATGATATTATAATTATAATATCATTATAATATGATATTTTAATTATTATTTTATAATATATTATATATTATATTGTATTGATATTATTATATTTATTATATTAATAATATTACAATAATATTATTACATATAATATAATTATTATATTATTATATTAATAATAATATAATAATTAATATAATTAAATATTAATATAATCTTATAATACTAATAGTATTATATATTATAGTGTATTACGTTATATAATATATTAATTATAATATATTTGTTTAATATAATATAATAATGATTATATAATATAATATAATATAGTTGTAATTTTTAATTATATTATAACTGAAATATTAATATTTTTATGTAATATTATAATATTATAATTATATTAACCATTTTAATAATATTATTATATTCCATATCTTTGTTATATAATATGTTATTTAATAATAGTTTTATTGTACTATATTACATATAATAATAAATATACATTATATTGTAATTATATATATTGTATTATATAATATAATATAATATAATCGTTATTTTTAATTATTTGATTTTGAGTTACTATTTTAATAATATTATTATATTCTATATCATAATTATTTTTTTGTATTATATTAAATATTCTAATAAATATATATTATATTGTAATTATATATATTATATTATAGTATAGTATATTATAGTCCCAATTTTTAATTATCCACAATAATTTAACCTCATAATTCACCAAACGCTATTACACTGATTTTGGAACCAGCACAATTACTATAATTATAGTTTACCAACAAACACTCAACTGATTTTTGTAACACCTGTTTCTTCTTTCAGCACAACTAAAAGTAATTTTTTCAAAATCTACATTACTACCAAACTAAGTCAAAGTCACATATCAACTCGAATTAAAAACTCGAATCAGCTAACTAAACGGGCCCTAAAACATCTAAGCACTTCAACCATTTCCTCAGTCAAAGAAATCCTTTGTTCTTCCCGTGTAAAATGCGAATTATAATAGAGAAAAGAAAATTAAGAAAAATATATAATAGGGCAAAAAAATAAGGATGTAAAAAGGGTAGACAAGAAAAAGAAAGAAAAGAGGAAAAATGAGAAATAATTTAAAAATAAAAGGAAAGAAAGAAAGTTTTTTTTTAAAATCCAACGAAAAAACTGATTACCACTTAGTATGGATAGAAAGACTTCAGTGCATAATTATTCAAGATATGCTTATGCTTCTCTAAGACTCGGGAACATCGTCATCAAGTAATAAGCTCTCAAATTATTGTGTCAATTCTTGATTATTTGTCATATGTTACATTCGATGCGAAATATGATCCCAATTTTAAGACATGTTAGGTCAAAGAAGTCCTTTGTTCTTCTACTATCTTCCCGACTATGTTAAATGCAAATTCCGAAGAAATTGTTGATACAGGAATACTGAAGAAATCACGTGCTAACTGGGAAAGATTTTGCTTTCAAGGTACTTATTAAGGTTCGCATATTGCGTATTTGTGGTTGGTATTGGACTCAAATCTTCTATTCCATTTTAGTCTCACAATTAATGTCTAACAAATCATATCATGTCACGTCGTATACAAAATTTAAATTATTTTTTAACTAACTCTTTTGTGCTTATCATGAGTTGATATACTATGATTATTAATTAGACACTAATTAAAACACTAAAAATTGTCCGACGCTGGATCCGTATTGATCAAGAGGAGATATAAACCCAAGTTGCTTTTTGGATCGGTTTTGAACTTCTTGTGTCCGCAAGTTGCCGAACTTATTCTCATAGATTGCATACACTTCAAACAACGTGTCACTTGCGTTCGTAATTTGTGAAGGAACATCAAGACCAATTTTTACAGTTTCTGCTGTAGGAACTATTTTTTACCACAGGTAGAAACGACTATTTTAGCCATTAAATTAATTTTCCAATAAAATGTTCTACAAATTTTAACATTGATACTCAAAACAAACCATTGAAAATTTAATTTAACGGATAAAACAACAATTCTTCTTACCGACAATTCGAAAAAGAAAGAAAATTTCAAACATAAAAATCCCTATTTATTATTCGTAAGTTCAAAAGTAATTAGCAAAAAAAAAAAAATGTAATTTTTACTGTAGAAAATTTATTTTTTGTAGGAATTGCTGTTTTAACTATTTGGTTGATTTTTTTTTCCCTGTTTTAGCCATGGTGACACGTTTTTGTTTTTTACTAACAAAAACCTAAAAAAAGGTAGCATATGCTACTTAAACTACATTACATGCTCGAAAAGTGGTAATTTGATATAAACAAATTATTGGCAACATAAGGGACTAACAGAATGGATAATATCTTAAAGGAACTTGTATATAAAATTGGTAATTCTCACTACTAAATGATCAAGACAAACAATCCATGATCAAGCTTTCGGTCATCCACAAAAATATACTAAAACCATGAGAGGACTTCTATCCACAAGGCTTCGGAATTCAGATACCACGTGAACAAGCTGGTTAAAATAGTTTCAAAAAGTTCCTTACCCACTTTGTTAAGGCAAAAGTTTACAGCAGATGCATATTAGTCTTATAATTACTGTGGTTATTATCGCTTTTAACATAGCACAGCAAAGACTTCACCAGTCGTCTCCAGTCGAAAGAGCTTTCACCAGGTGTCACCTAGTTCAACAGATTCGTTGATCGAATATCACCGCTTGAGCAGCCTCCTTCCTAGAGCAGGAGCTTTTGGAATGTAGACTTTGTAGCTCACCTGGGAAAAAAAAAAAAGCATTGAGAAATGATAATAGGATCAAAACAAAGTTGCAAACTAATCACTGAAGTCACTAATAGAGCAGCACAAGTTGCAAAGTAAAAATTGTAACATGCCAAAACCCCAACCTTAACTATTTCTCCACCCCGCATAACAGACATAGTTTTCTGCTCAAACTGAGACCCTTCATGAGCTTCATCTTGCAGTTTATCAGCCCTAGTCTCTACGGATGTGCATTTAAGCGAAGGAGACTCGGAAGCAGCGGAGCTACATGCATTATTGACGTCTGTACTATTATTATTATCACTATTCTGGGTCGCAGGTGGGGCAGTTACAGCTGAGGTCTCATCTAAACTACTCTTGGTAAGCAACAAGTTTGCCCGAGGTTCCTCACGTTCCGGTGCTTGCGTTGGAGTTGAACAAGTTTTTGACAATTGACATGTCAACACCGGTGTGGTCAATGTTGGTTGCACTGCAGAAGTACCGGCAATGACTTTTTCTTCAGAGTTTCCACAAAGAGTTGTCTGACGTGTTGAACAAGCAACATTCTGCTTTGCAGGCACAGATTCATTGCCACGAGTATTCTTGTCTGTCATGTTTTCGTCAATGTGGGAAGAAGAGGTGGTATCTTTCCTTGTTAAAGGAACCCGGACCCCTTTTCCTGATTGGGTTTCAGTTGAAACAGCCACTTCCGCACCATCCTCTCTTGAAAAATTAGCACCAACAACTCTAGTATCATCCTCCACATTGGACCCAGTTTGAACTGGTTCCGCATTTGGAATAGAGGACTCCTTCACACCCCCCTCACTCTTATTGTTCTGGTTAACAGTAGTTTTTCCTCTGGTTTGCAGCCCTCCCCGAAACCTTCTTAGATTTTCCAAAGCCCTCTGTCTTAAAACTGACTCCAAGTCATTCACAGTATTCGTAGTCGCACGTTCATCAAAGCTATGGTTACTTTCATCAAATCGGCTCCCATCATCAGCGATGGAATCATTGCCACTCTTCACATGTTCGTTGCATCTCAAGTCTGAGACGGCAGTGTCATCACCGTTTTCATTCTCTAACCTCATTTTCTCTACCTCATCATGTGAAGAGAGATCACCTTCTCCCCACTTGTTCCCCACATCATTGCTATCATTGCTTCTACAGGGAGGGTAATCACCATGAATATGTATAATCTCTTCTTTATCTCCATCTTTACTTAGTTCCATATCTCCATTATCCCTTTCCGCAACAATAATAACCGATCTCAACCGTCTTGACTTGTTGACAACAAAGACATTCTCCTCACTTTGATGAGTACTACATTCACTAAATTGACCGCGCGAAGGACTCCTTGACCTATATCTACCCCTTTTAGATGGACTTTCAACCTCGTCGAGAATTATTTCATCTCTCTCTTCTTTTCCACAGTTGCTCCGGTGCCTCTCAAATTCAACTTCATGACTGCTGCTACCATCACCTTGACAAGTTGAGCAGCTCCAAGACCTGCTACTTGTAGAACTCGTGCTATAATCTCTCCTACACTTCTTCTTTGAATAGGCTTTGTTCTTATTCTCATAATAACGTTTTCTCTTTGACCCTTTTCTCTTCCTCGCACGGGGAGAATCCCCGCTACTTTTGCTGCTATAATACTGTTTCCTACCCTTCTTCTTACTACTTTTAACATCCTTTCGGGCACGAATTCGAGAACTTTTACCTCTATGGTTTTCATCCTCAGAACTAGAAGAGTAAGAAGATGAACCTGATGTATCATCATCTGAAAAACGACGGCGAAGCTTCTTCGATTCGTGTTTTCTACTCCTAATCTTACTCCTCTTCCTCTTTCTAGCCTGAATTTCCATGTACATTAGATCGTTTGCAATCAAGTTCAAAAATAACATGTATTAAAAAAAAAAAAAATTGAAAGAGAAATATCAATACTGCTCAATTAACTTCTAAAGTTAAGGGCCCCTTTGGTAAGGTTTTCAAAATGATTTTGTTTTCAATATAAAAGTAAAAATGAGATTATTTTGAGAATCATTCTGTGACCGATTCTAAAATTGCGTTTGGTTAGTTTTTTAAGAGATTGTTTTGAATATTATAAAAAAGTGAAACTATGTTTAGTTATAATTATTAATTGATATATTATAAGTTTGTTGATAAGTACTAGAAATGAAAATAAAAAAAGAAAAATAATTTTCAACCATTTTTTAATTCCTTCACAAAAATCATTCTCACCGTTTTTTATATTCGTTTTCAAAATATTTACAAACATGATTGGAAGATCGTTTTCATTTGCATGTCTCAAAAGTGTGTAAAAACGTTTTCAAAATCAAGTAACCCTAAGTTTCAAAAACTACATTCTAAAAAATTAATAAAAAATTATAAATTTGTACGCTGAAATTGTTCCTATCAAAATATCCAATTACGAAATTGCGCACAATATTTATAAAATAAAATTAAAAAAAGGGTAAAATTACAAGAATTATAGGTAGCAGCAGAAGAGAAAACCTGAGAGGAAGCCTTGGAGCGTTTTTTCTTCCGAGAAGAAGAAGATTTTCCCATCTGGATTTTTTCTCTCTTTTTTTACCTGCAAATAACTAAACAAAGAGATGACAAAACCAAAACCCAGAAAAAAATAATGATAATAAACAGAAGAAACAAAGAAGAAAGAAAACGGAAGGGAATTCAAGTAATGGGTGAACAATTGGGGATCAAAATGGAAATCGAAGCGGAAGCAAAGAACAAAGCTCACTATTTTTGATGGGTTTCTTTTTCTACTTGCCCGGGATCGAGAAGAAAGTGAACAATCAACAATTCATATAAATAGAAGGGTAAATTGCACCACTGCCCACTAAATTATTCATTTTTTACATAATGTACCCTGAACCTTTAATTTTAATAAACTGCACCTTAAATTTTAAAATCATTAACAATTAAGGTCATGTTATCAAATTGACGGTTTAAAACAAGTAATTTGCACATGAAACATAAAGATCGACACTTATCAAATCATGAGACGCACAATTCTTGTGTCGCAAATTGTCAATTTGATAATGCCATTAACGACTTCAATTGTAACTGATTTTAAAGTTTAAAGTGCAATTTACTAAAATTAAGGACCCGTTTAGTTCGATGATTCGAGTTGAAATGTGACTTTATGTGAGCTCTTACTGTAACAAAAAAGTTAGATGTGATTGTTTCTGAAAGCTTTTTATTATAACAAAACTCGAATCGGTGAAATGAACGAGACCTAAAAGTTCGCTGCCCATTTACAAAAACCGAATAGCTTAGGGTGCAACAATGCAATTTACTCTAAACAAAAGTGTATTTTGCACATTTACCCTTGAACTTATAAAGTTTTGACAACATACCCCCAAACATACCCTCCAAACTTTAAATTTTAACAATTTAACTTTTCACTTGTCAAATTGTTCCAATATTCCCACTTTTGATGATGGCAATTTGTATAACTAACATATTTGTTTGCTTAACATGAATTCTTTGTTTTTCTTCTTACTTAGTAGGCGTGACTCTTACCTTCAAATTAAGAGGAATGTTTCACGGAGGAAAAACAAGTTTGTAGATGAGTGGTATCAGTTTGATTTCAATACTCTTGTATTGTTTTTTATCCATCGAAAAATCGAATCGGTAAAATAAATGAGCCGTAACATTCTCTTGTGAGACACTTTATGAGGAAAAATAGTTTAAGTGGAACTTATTTGCATTAGAGTTTGAGATTAATATTTTCTGAATTAATAAACAGGTTGACACAAACGTGACCAATTAACAGTAATACAAATTGCCACTACCCCAAACTAAGAGCTCATTTGGTAAACAAATTGAAGTAGTTTGAACCAAAAAGTTCAAATGAACTAGGGTATGGTAAATATTTTGAGGCTTGGTTCAAACCACTTATTGATGTTTTGAATGAAAAGAAAAAAAAAAAAAAAAAAAAACACACACACACACACCAACAAATTCTAATTCAAACAACATGTTTTATAATTTCCATTTTAAACCGCAAAAGCTCAAACCACCACGTTTCGAACAACAATTATTTCCGAAGCTGGAGTATACTGCTGAATATTTCAGTTATAGGCGTACCAACATATATACATGCACAGAAGTTCTCTAGAATTGAACTCTTCTCAACGAGAGCAATAATTTTTTGTAAACTAACTACAAAATATACTACAAAATATGCCCTCTTAAACAGTTTTTGTAATATGTATATATATATATATATATATATTTACTCAAGTTTACAGACCATTTAAGACCATCCAGGATGATTGGAAGCATAATTTTCGCGGAATTGCTTCCTGAAGAAGCATGAAACATTTTGGTTGCTCAACGAGGGGTACAAAGGAACGCAACAATTGACAACTGCTTATTTAAATATTGCTACAGGGTTATCAAAAAACACTTAACTGTGTTCTTTACCATCTCAAGGTCTGCTAAAAACGTTGAAACTCATGACGATCCTAAGCATCTTCAGCGTCGCTCGTGCTAGGGTGGGTATCGATATAGAATTCTGTGGAAAAATCAATTTCGTCAACAATCCTCCCCCTGAATTAGGCGATGCACAAGAAAAGCAACAGGCATGAGACCTCCGGAAAGGCAAAACATTATGGACTTTATACTACGAGGAAATCACGCAATTTTTGCTGAGAGAAGACGTTACGTTTCAAGTACAAACTTGCCCTCTTTATATTTCTGACTCTTCTCATGGGCAACTTCCTGGGGGGAAACAAGTAAAGACAGTAAGCGGGTTTATGAAGTTGAGAAATGAGGTGATGAGATCAAAGTTACATGAGATGAATAATGCAAAGACAAACACTCGGGCGTGTTTAATTGTCATGAAGGGGAAAGGAAAAGAGATGAATGTTTCCTTTTCCCACCTATTCATGTGTTACGATGTAGGGAATGGGAAAAGGGAAAGCAAATCTTAAGTTACCGAATGGTCATGACTATTGTATAGCCTTACTAAAATTTAGCTAATAATTATATGAACAAGGACTTTTTAGTCCAGCTAGTAGGATTCATGTTCCTAAAGTTGGTAAACACTAGAAAGTGAATTGAATTGTTTTCAATTTCACTTCCAATTATGTAAATAAACACTAAGGCGAGAATCAATGATTGTTTTTCTTATTCTCTTCTTTCTTTCCAACATCTTTCCCTTTTCCATTACAAGTTAGCAAGATCTGTTCACTCATGTGCGCGTGTGTATGTGTGTGTGTGTGTTTGTGTGTGTGTGTGAGAGAGAGAGAGAGAGAGAGAGAGAGCGACATATTCCCTTTTCCATTACAAGTTAGCAAGATCTGTGTTCTCATGTGTGTGTGTGTGTGTGAGAGAGAGAGAGAGAGCTACATATTTCCAGCCAACAATTTGTCCACAGAAGCAGCAAAATGTTTCTGCAACAGTATGCAGTCCTGATAGCATCAGCCTCTCCTCAAATGCTCCGAGACTGATGTTCACTCTGGATCTCAAACTCAGACACAAATAAGTTCCACTCGAAAGATTTTCCCATAAAGTGTCTCACAAGAGAATGTAGAATTAGAAACATTGCAAGGAAGAATTTCTTTCAATAACCATGGATCAAAAACAACACAAGAATATTAAAATCAATACATACTTTTGGCTATCAAATATTCATTTACAAACTTGTTTTTCCTCTGTGAAACATTCCTCTGACTTGAAGTTAAGGGTTACACTTATTACGTAAGAAAATAGAATAGATTGTTTCCACTACATTAATCAGTAGAGCATAGGGCATCAGTTCTTTTCTGGAGATAACTAAAGATTCGTGTTTTATTTAAATTTAAAACTTGCGTTCGGTACCAAAATTTGGGTGTGATAAGAGTAAAAAGTTAACTGGAAGAAATATATGTTAAGCAAACAAATATGTTATTCAAAATCATATATAAGATTTTCAAAAAAAAAAAAAAGAAAAAAATCATACATAAGAACCTTTCAGGAAAATCATATCATAAAATATAAGTGACTCACACATTATTGAAAAGGTACGCCTTTCCCCGTCGGCAGTGAAAACCCTGATTGAATTGCAAGGAAAATTGAGTTGCAATGAGCTTAAACACAACAGGACTATAAAATGTCTAAAGCTTAGAACATGGTTATAGACATATCAATCAGACTTGTAGACGATTTGATCATGTTTTGGCAGTTAAGAAATTAACCAAAGTGAGAAAATAAATTGAAAGACAATGATTTCAAAAAGGTTGAAAGAGACACTGCATCCAACTTTAGATGGGTAAGGAAGAATCATGACTCGAAACTCTTTAACAAAGCAAGTACATCCCAGAATGCTAAAAATTTAAAAAGGTCGAGGAACATGAGCTGTTGAGACAAGGAAAGAGACATCAACATACGGAATCAAGACTTTGTAGCAGATAAAAAAATTAATTTCTGCTATATTAATACATCTTGGCTTCTACTCAAGAAAATCTATTGCTTAGCCAATAACTTGTAACCAAAACCTTTTGACTTTACATTGAGGCCGATCAACATTCTATGCACAATATTGTGATACTTCAGCAAGTCAACAAAGATACTTCGCCACCTTTTTTTCTTTGAAATGTAAAGTATCTCCATAGATTCACTTGTTAGCCTTCTTTCTTAAACTAGTTCTACTAGTCTATAAGATTAACATTATTTGAGCTTCTTTCTCGTGAACCACGACTCGACATTGGGTTATGAACAAGGCACAAAATACAGAATGGTAATCGACAGCACGAGTGGTATTTGCATAGACTTTGACAGGCTAAAAGCTGCCAAAACAATTTCTAAAAAAAAAAAAGCTGCAGTTGTACACCCAAACAAGAACTCTGAATATTAAGGGTATTGGGAAAATAGTATGTCCCAGGTGCCGTATAAATCCCTCACAAAGTGGATTGGCCATATACTATTCCACCCCCACCAGCAGCGAGGGGACTAACGTGAACCCAAGACCTTGTTGAGGAGAACAACTTACCACCCCAACAACTTACCGATGGTTAAGCAAACTATGATGAGCCTCATCTCTAAGCCTCTAATCACTATGCCAACTCTTCCAAACAGCCATGAGAATACCCACACAATGATGCAGCTCAAAGAAAAGAGTCTTGGAGAACACATCCACTCAAAGTTACTCCAGAATCCACCAGTGACATTCTATTGAACTCAAATATTTGATTACAAAGATATAAGAAGACTGCTGACTTTCTGTGAGTTTCTGAGAGGAAAAATACTCTTATTTCTCTTAACGTTTACAAGGAGTACAGGGAAATATATATCCAAGAGATTGCTGCATTATTCCAGCCATTAGTCCCGGTCCTAAATCAATTAGTTAGAGGAAAATCCTCCACTAAAAAAGGAAAGAGATAAAATATAGAATCTGGTAAGTAATACCGAATTCTCCTTATTGTTCTATACCAAAAATACATAAACAAATTCCCTAAACTTTCCTAATATAACTTTGACTCAGAATTCCACTCCCCCTTAAGCTGGGTTGTAGATATTGTACATACACAGCTTGTGACTCATCATGTCAAAGTTAGTTCTTGGAAGAGCTTTAGTGAGTATATCTGCAGTTTGAGACTTTGTAAGAGTATAAACCAATTGCACAATCTCCTTCACAATCTTCTTTGTAATGAAATTCCGATCTATCTCAATATGCTTTGTCCTATCATGATGAACAGGATTCTTAGTAATGCTTATGGCAGCTTGGTTGTCACAGAACATCTGCATAGGCCTTTCTACTGTTACTCCAAGTTCACCAATTAGTCTTTGTATCCACATACCCTAACAAATGCCAAGAGCGAGTGCTCTAAATTCTGCTTATGCACTGCTTCTCGAGCCCACAGACTGTTTCTTGCTCCTCCATGTCACTAAATTTCCCCACACATAGGAACAATACCCAGATGTTGATCGCCTGTCTGACACATCTCCTACCCAGTCTAGATCTGTATAGACTTCTACATTCCTATTGTCATGACTTCTACATTCCTATTGTCATTCTTCTTGTATAGTAGACCTTTACCATACCTTTACCTGGAGTCATCTTAAGATACCTCAAAATTCTATTCACAGCCCCCATATGTTCTTCTGTTGGGTTGTTCATAAATTGACTCACAACACTAACAGAGAAACCAATATCAGGTTGAGTGTGTGAAAAATAGATGAGTCGGCCTACAAGTCTCTGATATCTCCCCCTGTCAACTGGTGCACTATCTTTTTCAATCCCTATCTTCTTGGTTGGATCCATTGGAGTATCTGCAAGTTTACATCCAAGCATAATTGTCTCCTTTAGTAAATCTAAGACATATTTCCGTTGGGAGACAAATATACCTTTCTTTGATCGAGCCACCTCCATGCCCAGAAAATGCCTGAGATACCCGAGGTCTTTGATCTCAAATTCCTTGGCTAGCATCTTCTTTAGTCTCAATAGTTCCTCCTCATAGTCACCTGCTAGAATGATATCATCTACGTACACAATCAATACTGCTATTTTCTTTCCTGGAGAGAACTTCACAAACAGTGTATGATCTGCTTGACATTGAGTATATCCATGCCTAATCACTGTCTTAGCAAACCTGTCAAACCATGCACGAGGGGATTGCTTGAGTCCATATAGTGATTTCCTAAGATTGCACCTCCATTCAGGAATGCATTCTTGAAATCTAGTTGATGTAATGGCCAATCTTGATTTGCTGCTCAAGAGAAGAGTACTCTGATATTATTAAGTTTGGCCACTAGAGCAAATGTTTCTTGATAGCCTATTCCATAGGACTGAGTAAAACCTTTAGCTACAAGTCGAGCTTTTAGTCTTTCTACACTTCCATCAGCCTTTTGTTTGATAGTGAAAATCTACTTACAGCAAGCAGGTTTCTTTTCGGGAGGAAGATCTAAGATCACCCAAGTACCATTTTTCTCTAAAGCCCTGATTTCTTCACCAACTGCCTTACTCCATTCTGGACTTTTGAAGGCCTCTTGAATAGAATTAGGAACCTGCACGCTATCAAGAATAGAGACAAATGTCTAGTAGGATGGTGACAATCCTTCATAAGAAACAAATCTGCAAATGGGATGATTTGTGCATGTTCGTACACCCTTTCTTAAGGCAATTGGAATACTTGTATCATCAATAGTAGGAGCAGCAATCTCAAGATCATAGGTTCCGTTACCTGAGTAAATTTGAGCGGAGAAGGACTTGGCTCAAATTTTTAGTCATGTGTGAGCTGTGTTTGAATGCTCTATCTCCTTCTTGGATTTTTTCCTCCTAGTATAGACACGAAGCTCAGGACTTGCATATTGTGGTGGTGATGACGTGGAGTGATTACGGACTGGAGTGGTGACTGGAGATTGAGGTAAGTCCACAAGAGAATGGTTCTCAAATTGGGAATGATTTTCAGGTTGATCTGGAATTTGGAGTACATTCCCGGGCTGAAATGGAAGAATGGAATCCCCGGACTGAGGTGGAGGTGAATGTTCAATGTCACTAGGAGTGTCCCAAAACTGATATTCTCTCATATTCTCATCCTGAATTTCAGGTTTTGGATAATAGGGTTGATGTTCAAAGAATGTCACATCCATTGAGTGGTAGACCTTCTTGGGGATGGGAGAATAGCACTTATAACCCTTTTAGTTTGAGGAGTATCTAAGAAAAATGCATTTGATGGATCTAGGGTCTAATTTGCTACGATGGTGTTGATGTATGTGAACAAATGCTGAACATCCAAATACTTTAGGATCTAATGAAGAGATAATTTTTGTATGTGGGAAGCTTTGAAGAAGAACCTGATATGGAGTTTGGAATTTTAGGACTCTGGAAGGCATTCTATTAATGAGATATGATGCTGTAAGGACTGCTTCTCCTCATAAATGTTTTGGAACATGAGTAAACCTCTAACAAGTGTCTATTTTTTCTTTCTGCTACCCTGTTTTGTTGGGGAGTGTCAACACAAGAACTCAAATGAACAATACCCTGACTCAAGAGATAATCACCTAGGATAGTTTTGAAGTATTCCTTAGCATTGTCAGTTTTCAGGAATTGAATTTTGGTGTTCAATTGTGTTTGTATCATGGAATTGAAATTTTGAAAGATTTGACCAACTTCAAATTTTTCTTTCATGAGAAATATTCAGATTAGTCTAGTGTAATCATCTACAAATGATACAAACCATCGAGTTCCTGTTATATTTTTAACACTTGTGGGACCCCATATATCACTGTGAATCATAGTAAAAGATAGAGATGGTTTATATGGAAGACTAGGATAGATACTGCGTTTGTGTTTGGCAAGTTGACAGATTTCACATTTGAAGAAACTTGAACTTTTATTGATGAATAAAGAAGGAAACATTTTCTCAAGATACACGAAATTTGGATGACCAAAACGATAGTGCCATAACATAACCTTGCTATCTTTATTGACACTGGAATTTAAAATTGACTGACTCTTGAAAGACACACATTTTGCAGATTGAGCTTGTCTTCTTAGGGGTCCATCATCTTTGAGGAGATAGAGTCCAAAACACATCTTAGCATTGCCAATCTTCCTCCCCGAATCTAATTCCTGAAATTCACACAAGTTTGAGAGAAATTTAGACACACAGTTAAGATCACGAGTCAATTTGTTGATAGAGAGTAAATTGTAGTCCAAATTAGGAACATGTAAGACAGTGTTCAGAGTTAAGTCCTTTGTGATCCAGACTAAGCTTGTTCCCTCAACTTTTGAGAGGGATCCATCAGGAATTCGGACTGTATAATTCTCATTGCACGGATTGTACTCATGAAAGATAGTTGCATCTCCCGTCAGGTGATCTGAAGCTCCAGAGTCAATAATCCATGGACTTGGATGTCTTGTTGACTGTGAGAGCATTTGAAAAATTACCTTTCTGTGCTAACATGCCAGTTCCAGAAGTAGAGGTACTCGGCTGAGACAAGAGATTCTGGCTAAAGAGTTTCTGTAAAACCTCAAGCTGTTCCTTGGTGAAAGGACTTGTCTCTGGAGAAATAGGATTCTCATCTTTGGTTGCAGTGTTTGCACAGCTTTCTCTGTCATTCCATGGTCATGAGGACTTCCAATCAGTAGGTTTCCCAAGAAGTTTCCAACAATTTTCTCTCAAGTGTCCTGGTTTGCGGCAGCGATCACACCATTCCTTTTCTTTGTCTGCTTTCATTGTTGTTTATCATTAGAGGTCCTCGGGTTGCAAGGGCAGATCCTTCAAGCGTTGAGGCATAGTTTGGGGATCCCATCATCACCTTTCTTCTACTTTCTTCACGCCGTACTTCTGAGAATGCCTCCCTAACACTCAGCAGAGGCTTGGTTCGTTAAGGCATAGTTTTAAGATCCCATCATCACCTTTCTTCTACTTTCTTCACACCGTACTTTTGAGAATGCCTCCCTAACACTCAGCAAAGGCTTGGTTCCTATCACTCTCCCTCGAACTTCATCCAAATCCTTGTTGAGTTCGAGAAGGAATTTGAATGTTCGTTTCTGCTCCACAATCTTCTTGTATAAAGCAGTGTCTTGAGGGCACTTCCACACGTAGGTTTCAAACATGTCTAATTGTTGCCAATGACGAGTGAGGGTGTTGAAATATTGAGTAACTGTGAGATCCCCCTGGCGCAGGTCGTGCAGAACCGTTTCAATTTGAAATAATTCTGAAGTGTTTTCAGAACTTAGAGTGCGTTTCTCTAATAGCATCCCAAATCTCCTTCGCAGATCCATACAAAAGAAAATTTTCTCCTATTTCATTATTCATGGAATTAATCAACCAAGACATCACCATGTGATTCTCGATTTTCCATACCCTGAATTTGTGATCATTCTTCTCAGGGGTGGTGACTTCACCCGTGAGATACTCATCTTTGCCTTTTCCACAGATAAACATCATCACGGATTGAGACCATTGAAGGTAGTTATGGCCGTTGAGTTTGTGACCTGTGATAAGAAGAGAGGAGTTCTTCGTCGTTCGACCGTGACTGCTTGCTGCTGCTGCAGTTTTTGGATTTGAGGTTACTTCGGATGAAGACGAGCTTTGTCTCTTAGTAGCCATGCCGAAGTTGGTCATGCCGGATTCAGGAAATTAGAGAACTAGGGTTTCTTTTCTCTAGAGGTTTGGCGGCTCTGATACCATGTGAGTTTCTGAGAGGAAAAATACTCTTATTTCTCTTAACGTTTACAAGGAGTACAGGGAAACATATATACAAGAGATAGCTGCATTATTCCAGCCATTAGTCCCGGTCCTAAATCAATTAGTTAGAGGAAAATCCTCCACTAAAAAAGGAAAGAGATAAACTATAGGATCTGGTAAGTAATACCGGATTCTCCTTATTGTTCTATACCAAAAATACATAAATAAAATCCATAAACTTTCCTAATATAACTTTGACTCATAATTCCACACTTTCCTAACACATCCTTAATTTGTACTAAAACTATAACAACCATATAACAACCATATAAACCTTTAGAAAACTAAAAGACACCCTAACCAAGCAGTCATCATAAGACTTCAAAGGATCAGCAATGAAATTAGGGATCTTTGAAAGCCCAAATTTTACACTCCTATAATGCTTCAACAGCAATAACCCAACACTAAACATAGGAATTAAACTATCTACGCGCTAGCTCTGCGCCAGGACAATAATTAGACTCCACTCCACATGACTGAATAGTAAATTCTCGAAAAGTCAATCCCCCTTCCAGTAAGTGCTCACTCAAACACGGTTAACGCCATAAACAAGCTCATGTAGATCGACATCAACCTCCTCTTCACATTAGTTATGGAGCCTAACCATCAAGTCCATGATTACCTTGCGTATTATTTGGATCAAGCCTGGCGTTTTAATGGAAATGACCACTCGGTTTGGAAGGGTATATGGAATTCTAAGCTCCATGAAAGGTTGAAAATGTTTTTATGGAGATTAGTGGTGGAGGCCCTCCCAACGAGAGAGAGAATTGAAAATTTTAATCCTTTTATGGGAACTGATTGTTCTATTTGAGGCCAAGAAACTGAAATGGTTGAGCATTTGTTTTTTGAGTGCAGATTTGCAGCTGCTCTATGGTTTGGATGTCCTTTTGCTAGTAGAAGGGAGTGTTGGGAAGGAAAGAGCATCCTTGATAGAGTTAAGTTTGTGATAAAGCCGCCTTCTGAAGCAGGCTTCTCTAAAGAGGGGTCCTTTTTGTTTTCTTTATGGGGAACTATTATCCTTGATATGATATGGAGAATGAGAAATGAAGTTGCTCATGGGGCTGTATTACAAGATCCTTCGAAGGTTTTAGCTCTGTGTTCTAAGAGAGTTGAAGACTTCAAGAGGAACTTTAAATTGGGTAATACTGAAAATGGTGGGAGCGAGGGTGGGAGATACTTTGAGCAGAAGGATTTATTTGATATTTCCAATCTCATTATTAATGTTGATGCAGCCTGTGGTTCAGAGGGAGCAGCAGTTGGGGTAGTGGCTAGACATGTGGAAGGTGGGATGGTGGGGGTGTTTGCTCGGTGGAAGTGGCTGAGGCCGTGGCTTTTTTAAAGGGTGAGACTTTGGCTGTGGAGAGAGGGTGGCTGTGGTGAATGCTCTTAATGGAGTGAAGGACAACATTTCGTGGGAAGCTAAGTGTATAATCGATGAAACTCTCTCTCTTTGTATTAATTTTGATGTCATTTGTTTTGTTTGGATCTCTAGACATATGAATGTTGCAGCTCACCAAGCTGCTAGGTGGGGTCTTAGTCATTCTTTTTGTACAGTGGATCATTTTGCCTCCTCGTCTCATCAGTTTGGTTCTTGGAGGTTGGCCTTTTGTAACGACGATTTCTCTATGAAGTAACACTTTTCTAGCAGAAAAAAAAAAAAAAAGGTCCAAGATTACCTTAATGTTCCAAACTACAAACCAGATTGAACACATCCTTAATCCTTAAAGTGGTAAAATTCACTAAATCCAAAAGAAAATTTCATCAAACTTCTTCTTTCAGATTCATTTGTGCGCCAAAAGTACAAATTGAAAAGCTCAACCATAAGAATTAGAGCCACGAACGCAACATCAAAGAGCTCCTTTGTGACAGTGGCAAATAAACAGACAAAAGGCTAATACAATTATCAATATTTGCACTCTGAAACTAGCTTTTATCACTTTACAATCCACTATATTTATTTTTTGCAAAAGGGTCACGGCTAAAAAAGAAATACATAAAAAAAAGAACTAGATAAAGTGTTATGAGAAACTAAAGAATCATTCAAGAACAAATACTATAAACAGTTGCAGTTGATCATGTATGACAAGTAATAACATGTCATGAGTAAGTGAAGAAAAATAATTCTTAAACATTGGAATTGTTAAAGAGGAAGAGAAATGAAAGAAAAAATAAATTAATTAAAAAAAAAGGAAAAAAAATACCCGAGAAACAAGATCGTGAGCAAGGGCGAGGTGGGTTTTACAGAACTTGCATCTGTAAGACCTTCCTTCCAACTCTACTACAAATATTCTTCCCATCTTTCTTCTTCTTCTTAGTTCTTGCCACAAAACTAAAACGTGCTTTGGTTTGGTGGATATATCTCAGCTTAATAGCTGAATCTTATTGTTATTTTTCTTTTCTATTTTCTTGAGGGTTCATCTTTATTTGTCATTATTATTATTTTTTCTGTCATTGTACTAATATCATTGCTAGTCAATGACGTGGCTGTTTATCTAAAGGCAAAATTTCGTTAGTTTTTAGCACAATTACTCTTTAAATTTATGATGTTTTAACAAATTATTTATTAAATTTTTAATTTTAATAATTAATTTTTTAAATTTATAAAATTATTGTAATGTGTTTAATTTATTAAATTTACTCATATTTTGTATTAAATTTTTTTAAGAGTATACTTTTTTATTAGATTTAAGGGATTAAGACGTGAGGATTTAAAAGATTTGTTTTATATAAATTAGGATGTTATATTTTCTTATAAAACGTATTTTAACCATATTAATTTAGTGCAATTATTATCAAAATAGAGCATATTATGATAATTTATAAATAAAAAGAGAAATTTAACAAAATTAAAAATTTTAAAAAGTAAATTGTTAAAATTATAGGGCGCGTTTAGAATTCGTTTTAAAATGATTTTATTTTTTGTATGAAAATAAAAATGAAAACTTTTTTAATATTAGACAGAAATTATTTTTGAAAATGTATTTAGTAACTTTATCAAGAGATTATTTTTAGTGTAAAAAAATTCATTAATGTTTTTCTTTTTCTCTCACTGTTCTAAAAAAGAGAAAATAAAAATAAAAAATAAAAAATTATTTTTTATTTCTCTCTCGTTTTACACTAAAATAAAATATATTTTTTTATTTATATTTTTTATTTTTATTAAGTTAAACGCTATTTTGAGAATATTTTTATTTTTATTTTTTAAAAAAATATGAAAAATAAAAACAGCATAAAATTTAAGAGGTAGATGTGTAAAATACTTTTATTTTAATTACCCCTCCGATTTCAGTTATTTTCCTCGTTTCCCCGTAAGTAAAACAAAAACCCCTATTTATTAATAGGCGAAGAAGAGAGAAGAGTCTCTGCAGCAGCTCCTCCCGTTGCGGCGTTGGTGAGATTCCCGTAATTTCAAGACTACCCTTTTCATCTTAACAACTAATTCATATCAAATTTATCATTTTTTTTTTTGGTGATCATTTTCATTTTGGGTTTCATTGTTGTTGTTTTAAGCAGCGAAAAATGAGAACAGCTGAATTTGCTGTTCTTCGGTCCTTCAAAGATGTCTTCTTATCATCCAGATTTCGGCAACCCCATTTGCTCAGAACCCTTTCTACAAACGCACTGAAAACAGATGCTTCCTCAGGTATTTTTTATTTGGTAGATTTGCTTTTTCTTTTTTTTTTTATTTGTGGAAAATGGAGTTTGGTTTTTCAGTTTTATTAATGGTGAGTTCTGAAATACTGGGTTGTGTTCTGTGCAAATATTGATGCAATAATTTATAGGAATTTGGTTCAGAGAGGGGGAAAAAAATAGAAGAGGAGAAGAAGAGCTTGTGCTTTTAGAATTCAGATCTTTGATTTTTAAAACTGATTTTAATGGAAAGCTTTATTCATAAAATAACTTTCAAAAGAGTTTTAATTTGCAAAATGACTTTGGAACAACCAGAAGCAACCATTTTAGTGTGTTACCAAGTGGTCGTTTTGTAAAAAGAAATAAAGAAAAGGGTCGTTTTGCTAATTTCACTTTATGGGGTAGTCATTTTAGCAAATTTCTTGTTAGAATTTTCGTTTGATCTTTGTGAGATTGAAATAAATTGATTGTGTTATTTTTATTTCAAACTTCGATATACTGTTCTAGAGTAAATTTTATTTTCAAACTCAGGTCTTCCTAGTTTGATCACCGTATTTGTGGTGAATTTTGCAGGTGAAAAAGAGGATGATACACCTCCGCCGAGGCATGAATCAGAGGATGATTTTCAGCAGAGAATTTTTGGTGGAAGTAATGAAGGAACTTCAAAAACGGAAGCTTTTTTTGAAAAGCTCAATAGAATCGGGAAAGGTCGCGATAGCTTTGGCTCATACATGACTGGAGGATCAAGAGGAGGAAATGCTTCCAGTATGTTGGATGGACTGAACGAAAGTTTTGACACGTTACAGGATGGGCTGGACGGCAAGTTAGAGAAAGCAGCCACATATTTTGAATTTGATCGCGAAGAAGTATTGCAGGATGATTACTCTTTCAGACCGGATACGAATTTTAAGCAGGGAATGACTTACAATGTTAAGGTATACAACACCTCTTAGCATCTTTAAGTGCACTTTACTTTTATGCTGATGGAGTTGATGTAGAACCAAGAAAGATAGGAAAGAAAAAATTTTAAAAATAAAAAAACGAGGAAACTACTGGCTTAAATGGATACTGAGAATAACCCTTATTCCAAAATAGCATAAATCCATAGGTAAATCGAAACTAAATATTAAAACATTACTATATTCTATTCTCAGTCAATAGTTTTTGGGTAAGGAAGATTTTGATGTTGCCATTTTCTGGTGTTAATGAGTGTTAAATGAACACACAAGTTGATACTTGGAAACTACTCTGGCTTTATTGCTGGCATGGAATCCATTAGTCGCTTACTTGTTTTGGTGGTTATTATACTTGCAAGAGGTTTTTTTTTTTTTTTTTTGAAAATACACAGTCAAGGCACAAATACACACACAAGAAGTATGCATATCCTCTTTGTTTTCAGTAGGTTGTCCTTCCTAAGCAGTATGGTTTGTCGTGCAGGATCTTGATCTAACAAAGCCGACATATCGTAAACCTGTCCAAAGGTCTGCATTTAAAGTAACTACAGAGGAAGTTCTGAGAAAAGCTGATTTCAGGGTAAGCGTATCTCAATTTCAATTTCCCTTGTGGACGTTCTTTTTTTTTTTTTTTTTTGGGGGGGGGGGGGGGGGTAATCTCTTGAGTTTAGAAGGAAAAGTATTTTCCTGACTATTCTAGAAGTGGTTATATGGATGCTTTTTGTTATATTGTTTTATTTTTAAATCATAGAAGGCTATCTGATTTTTTAGTTATCGTCTTCTTCCGTACTCTACTCTGCCCGTTGCTATTTGAGAATTGAGATTATGTTTCTTTGATAAAATTCGGCAAAGAAAAAAATTTAAACTGTTTGTCATTTAGAAGGCAGCTCAATCTGATCAAGGGGCAATATTGGAGATGCCATTTATAACTGTCAATGATACAAGTGGTTGCCTTCTGTTCGGTTGAGCATTGAGCTGTTGAATTGTAGTTAGCTTACTTTATTGCTTCTTTCCCCAAAGATGATAGAAAGTAGACATCACAAAAAGTACTCTTCCATATTGGTAGTTGTAAATGATTCGTATAACTCCTCGAAAACTTGAAATTTTCTAAGAGTATGAAAGTTGGTTGAGAAAAAGCATGAGAAGACTATTTTGGTGATTGGTGAAGGCCTCGTGACATTGGCACGGAAAAGAGGGATAGCATGGGAGTAGAGAGGAAACTAGAGGGAATGAGGAAGAACTGTGTCATATAGATGTTATATACTATATAATTTTTAGCGTTTTCCGAATTTCTTCCCTGATTCACCAAGGGAACGAATTTGGAATAATTTTTGTAATTTGTAGTGGTGATTTCTTTGTAGGTTTGTCTTGACATTTAACGTGTTATCTGGTGCAGAACGTACGTTTTCTAGCAAACTTCTTAACGGAGGCTGGAATTATCAAGAAAAGGAACCAGGTGAATTTGATTTGTCATCAATGATTTCAACTCGATGCACTTGCCGTTAAATGTGTATACTCATTTAACTCCCGATTCATTTTGTAGACTCGCATCAGTGCCAAGGCCCAGAGAAAGGTTGCTAGGGAGATCAAAACTGCCAGGGCCTTCGGTCTAATGCCTTTCACGACGATGGGGACAAAATCATTTATCTTCGGAAAAACTATGGGGGATACCCAAGAAGATTATGAATTCGAGAGTTTTGTTGGCGGCGGTGATGTGATTAATGATGTGGAGGACTGAGGTACACCTTAAAAATGCCTTAAAGCAGCTGCTTCTCTGAGAGTTGGGGGGTTGTAATTTCTTTTGATGGTGAACAGAAAGCTTCTTTACTGGGAACACTGAAGTTCTCATCTACTTTGGAAGTATTTCATCCTTTTAACCTCTTTTGACAAATTTTTGCCTGGATTGCAAGCCTTTAACATGTGGCAGTAGTCTTGTTTTGCTAATAGTTTGTTTGTTTGTTTTTATTATTATTTTTCCATTAATGAAGATAATGGAATTAGATGTGAAAGAGAGGCCTTTTATACCATGTAATTTTTTGCAGTGATCATGGGAGAAAATCATGAATAAATTAGGTACCTTTGATCTTAGTACTACACAATTTTGTAATGGTGCCTTTTAGTTTATCGGATTAGGTCTTTAAACATCGAGATTTTCTCTTTTTTATCTTATTTGAGTTATTTATATTATACCCTTTCAATTTCTTCCTTTTTCTTTTTAACTTGAAGATGCTTGTGGCTAGAAGCTTCATGCATCAAGTATAGCATGTTTTAATGCTAGTTGCTCATTCTTATCATTTAATAGGGAAAAAAAAAAGAAAAAAAAACTTTTTCATGCCTTAATATTTAAGTCACTTAAATTACATGATATAATATGGGGAGAAAGAGAGAAATAGGTCAAGACTTGAGATGAATTAAAATTAATAGGCCAATAGTTTACATAAATTAATAAATAGGTCAAATTATTGTTTTTTTCATAATTTGTCTAGTTATGAACCATAACTTGACAAGTTATTGTCCATAAATCACAGCTTTTGTCCATAACTTGTCTGACTATGAATCATAACTTGTCTGGCTATGAACCATAACTTGACAAGTTTGTCCATAACTTATCTGGTTATGAACTATAACTTGACAAGTTATGGCTTATCAATTTCTATAACTAAAAGTTGGCCTATATACTTCTTTAAGCTTTTCATATTGGCTTATTTTCTACTATTTTCGTATAATATGATTAGTAAGAAGCCAAATGAGATACTAAGGGCCCGTTTAGTTCGGTGATTTGAATTTTTAATTCGAGTTGAGATGTGATTTTATGTGAGAATTTTTTACTGTAGTAAAAAAGTTAAATGTAACTGTTCCTGAAAGCTTTTTACTGTTAGAAAATTCAAATTCTAAACTCAAAACGGTAAAATGAATAGAGCTTAAAAATTTGGACAAATAATTTGAATTTTGACTCCAACTCTTCAAAGAATGTATAGCTACATTGTTGTCCACGGAATTTTTTTTCCTCATAAGAATTTTTTTTTTTTTTTCAATACCTGCATCTTTTAACATTTTACCACTCATAAAATCCTCGCGTCATTCTTCTTGTGTTACATTTCGTCAAAAAAATATACAATTTCTTACCCGACAGAGAGGCCAAAACAAAATACTATAAAAATATTAGGGTAATTAAACCTCTAAATATAAATATCAAGGACCCAAATAAGACAAGTATATATTTCCAAGGTTATTAGTATAAATAACCCTTGAAAAATTATCAAAAAAAAAAAAACATAGCCCTTAAAAATGTGGAAAATATGATGGTCATTGTTAAATGACATACAGTTTTCAAAATTTTTAAGCTTGCGACAGATTGGTTCTCGATTTAATTTTATAGCCAAAATTCTTTGTGAATTAAATTCTGTGGCAAATGATATCCAATCCGAGCGTTACGCGTTAGCATCCATTAAAAACAGAAGAAACGTGCATGTGCCACCTTCCACGTGGTAACTTTTTGTGGAAGAAATACGTAATAACGAAGTACGTGAAGAAGATTAACCTTAAAAGAAAGAATTATGTTCTCTCTATACTAGTTTATTAGCTAACGAAGTACGTGAAGATTAAATTTATTTAAAAGCTAAATATTATAAATTCTCTTTAATATGTGACGTTCTTTAAATTTTACAATGTATATATTGTGACCTTAAATTTATAATAATCTCTATATTCACACTTCTACCTTGAAATTTTAAAACGTATTATATTTGGATGGAATAACATGTATAGTGCACATAAAAAGAAAAAATTTGACAATTTATTTAAAAACTTATGGGCCCGTTTAGTTCGTTAATTCGAGTTGAGATGTGACTTTATGTGAGAACTTTTTACTGTAACAAAAAAGTTAGATGTGACTATTTCTGAGAGCCTTTTACTGTAGTAAAACTCGAATCGATAAAATGAACGGGATCTAAGTAACCCAATTAAATCAGGTTTGGTTCTCCATTTTTTTCCCCTCTTTTCTTGTTTATACGCAACTACATAAGAAAACAATATATAAGGGATTTGGAGCCCCAACTAATTTATTTGAAAAATGCTTAACATCACCGCTAATGCTACACACAATCACTAATAAATGGTCAGTCCCCTACACTTAAAAAGAATAAAAAATTTATCTTTAAGAGTGTATGAGATTGGATTTTTACTACTTACTCTTGATAAATATAATTTTATTAGTGTAATTACTTGACTAAAAAATTATGAATAAAAAATAAATGGTAAAAATTATGATTCATACACTTTTAAAAAATATTTATCAAAAATATCTCCCATTTATGGATCTTATACTGCAAAACCTACCTTCTATCAGAGAATAATGTTTAACACCACTGGTGTCTTATAGTTTGGAGCGTGGGTATTCATTAACGCCTAAAGCAAAAACTCAATAATTCCGTCCAAAAAGTTGCATGTTTTAAGGCTTAGGGAGTGAATCTTGAGACCTATTATAGATAAGGGAGCCCAATAGGTATATTTCAAGGTTCAGGCAATATCTTAGACACAAGGATATAAATAGGAGGAGTTCGTAAAATTTATTCTTATCTAAATTCATCTTAAGGGCATTAATTAATGTAATATACTCTATTAACAAGTAATTTGAGGTTCACATGTCCGTCGAGTAATGTTTTGAAGTTTGGGAACTAAAAGTGAAATTTAACTCTTAAAAATCCTGTAAGAAATCAGAACGGAAGAAAAATTCTCAAAACAAAATCAACTGTCAATTTAAATTTAGGGTGCGTTTGGAGTAAGAATCTGTGCTATGATTCAGATCATAATTTGTAGCTCGTTACAGTATTTTCTATCAAAAAACATACATAAATTAAAAATAATTTTGAATTATAATTTTAAATCTATAAACCAAACGTACTCTTCATTAGTATTTTATTCTAGGCAGTTCACCTTTTTCTCCCAAAAATTTGAAATCCTAACTAGCCAAAGCAAAATGGACAAGCATATCTGTGTTTTCTCCATTTTGTGTTGGTTTTAGTCAAAATGAGACCCATATTCCAACGGCTTAGAACATTTTCCCGGGAAAATAATACCCAACGAAAGTTCAATTTCCTATCAAAGTTCCAACCCAGAAATCTTCACTCTCACAGCTTTATTTCACTAAATTTCCCTCTTAGCCTCTCCAAAGTTGATGAAAAGCCTAAGACTTCCTTCGACTGCTTTCTGGGTTGGACCAAAACTTATCCTTTCGTTCGATCATTTGCGAATTCTGCCGATTCCGACGAGTTTGAAGGAGACCCAAATGATCGAATCGCTGTTTGGATTCAAAACATCATCAAGTTTCGGAGGGAGAAATCGACGGAGGAGATCGAGCGAGCTCTTGATATGTGTGGGTTTGAGTTGACAGAAGAATTGCTCTTGAATGTACTTCACCGGCATCAATCTGACTGGAAACTGGCTTATGTTTTCTTCAACTGGGCGTGTAAAGGAGGTGGAAGTAATGGGTTCTTGCTGGGCTCTGAATCCCACAACGAGATTCTCGAAATTCTCGGGAAAATGAGGCGGTTTGAGGAAGTACACCAAGTGCTCGTCAAAATGCGTGAGAGAGAAGGACTGCTCAATGAAGCGACTTATGCGATATTGCTCAACCGATACGCGGCTGCGCATAAAGTTGATGAAGCAATGGACGTGTTCCGCAGGAGGAAAGAGTTCGGTCTTGAGTGCGACTTGGTGGCGTTTCAAAATCTTTTGATGTGGTTGTGCCGGTACAAACATGTTGAGGTAGCGGAGACCTTGTTTTACTCGAAGCGGAAGGAGTTTCCTTCGAACATAAAGACGTGGAACATCATTCTTAATGGATGGTGCGTGCGAGGGAATGTGCACGAGGCGAAAAGGTTTTGGAAAGATTTGATCAGGTCTGGATGCCAGCCGGATCTTTTCACTTATGCGACTTACATAAACGCGCTGGCCAAGAAAGGGAAATTAGGGGCAGCAATCAAGTTGTTCAAGGCCATGTGGGAAAACGGCTGCAACCCAGATGTGGCAATATGCAACTGCATCATCAATGGGCTTTGTTTTAAGAAGAGGATTCCCGAAGCTTTTGTGGTTCTGCGAGAAATGAGGGCACGAGGTTGTAGTCCGAATTTAGCAACGTACAACACGCTGATCAAGTACCTATGCAAGATTCAGAGGATGGACATTGTTTATAAGATTGTGGATAAAATGGAGCGGAAGCGGGGAGATTGTTTGCCTAATCACGTGACATACAGTTTCTTGCTCAAATCATTGAAAAAACCGGAGGAAGTTCCTGACCTCTTGGAGAGAATGAAGAGAAATGGATTCAAAATGGTTTGTGACACGTACAATCTGATCTTGAAGTTGTACATGGATTGGGATTGTCAGGAGAGAGTGAAATCTACATGGGATGAAATGGAAAGGAATGGATTGGGGCCCGACAAGCGATCTTATACGATTATGGTTCACGGGTTCTTTGACAAAGGAAGAAAAGAAGATGCTTTGCGTTATTTTCGCGAGATGAGAGCAAAGGGAATGCTGCCAGAGCCGAGAACCGAAATTTTGGTGAATTCCATGAACGTTAATTCGATTGAGAGAAAATGTGACTCTGAGACATGTTGACACAAGTGAGAATTATCAGAGTTCAATGAATGTATGTATTTGGATGTCATGTATCTTGAAAGGTGTGTGGTCAAAAAATTTCATTACTAGTTATTGACTTCACGGTTTCCTTCATTGGCTAGGATTCATGTGTAGGTTGAATACAACCTTGAGTGGATAAGAAAAAAGCAGCATAAAGATTTTTATCATCCTATACATTCTTTTCCTATTTTTGCTTTATTATTGGGAATATGATGTTCTCCTCACGTGCAACCAATCCATTTCAATTTAGATTTGTGAAAATTTGGTGCAAATTCAAATCTATTAGTCCTTTAATATCCAATTCTTTTATATGATTCGATTGGATTGGCTGGGTCCATTGACTGGATATTCTGCGCAAGAGAAAACCCTGATTAGAATAGTTACAGTTTATAAACAGTTGAGAGTGATCGATTAAGGCAATCATATCTCCTGGTGATAGTGGTCAGTGGTAAAATCATTGATGGGATTACATTCATATCCAAACACCAAAGTGAAAAAAAATCTGAACCAGGAAAGATGCTAAAATCAATTTGTACGTACTATTTTAAGGGAAAATGGAAATAATAGGTGCAAATATGTGCACAAAGCCAAGGGGAAAAAGGAATACATGTCACAAAAACAAGCAGTTGTGTATATCATCTTAGCATTCTCCTCTGTTGATACGGTGAAACCTAAAGTCGGCTTTTATCAGGCAGTTGCTGCAGGAGTAGGGGTGTACCAACCATGGTGAATCTCTACAGCCTTCTTTCTTCTGGCTAATCGAGACTTTCTGCGTGCTCCGGTGTTCCTATGTAATGTTCCAACCTTAACTGCTTTGTCGATGATAGAGTATGCCTCAGCGATCAACTTCTCGACAGGAAGAACCTCTTCTGCCTGAGCGTCTTGTTTCTTTTTTAGTGTGTCCAAAGCTTCCAAAACCTGGAAAATGCAGCACAAATAAGATCACAGAAGCCACCAAGAAATTCCCACTTATCTAGTTAGGGTCAGAAATTTCAGCTACTTCTCAGTGCTCTAACTAATTCCATAGTTACAGAAAGATGTTTAGAACAAAAATATCAAGAAGCATGACATGTTATAAGTCATAAATCACTAACAGAAGATTGCAGATATGAAAGTATTTTTAGCTACATGTATCTTAAGTAGATGAAAAAACAATTACTGAAGCAGCGAATTGAAAAAAAAAAAGAAGCAGAAATATCAGGGGTGAATCAATTCATATTATCTGTAAATATACTCACCACACGCAGACAACTAAATGTTCATCAAATCTCAAATTTTATTTACCGCAAAATCAGCGGTTTGAATGAACGGGAAAGTCTACCAACATGCAAGGAGGTCGAAATTAAAACACTACAAGATTAAGTACAAAAAGAACAGAAAGGGTAAGAGAGTTACAAGCCAAGACATAAGACTTCCAATAACAGTCCATAACCGAAATTGTTTCTACAAAAACTTTAGCAGTAACGACATAAGCACACAGTTGATGGATAATATGAACCTAAAAACCTATCCAAGACATGAATAAGGCACTCCAGAAAAGGATGCAAGAGGTCATACATGGTAACAAATTTGGGCTTTGGAGCTCAAATCAGGATTTAGTATAGCTAAAAGCATTATAGTGCTAAAAGAGCTGATTCACACTTTCCACTGGAAAAGAATTCCGCATATGTATTTAACACTTCAATAAATCTACTATATATATATATATATATATGTATGTATGTATGTATGAATTATAGATGTCTGTGTGTGTGTATTGAATGTTATAAATCTCCAAAAACTAGGAATTTCATAAAGTGACTGAAGGACAAGTTGTGTTATTTCCTTTATTCTCATATATATTAACCTTAAATCTTGTGACTAAAATAATGTCCTAAACCTATTTATACATTGGATGAGGAAGGTTATTGAACATATCCTAGAAAAGTGTAACAACGTGCATAGATAAATTATACAACCGCACAAAATATCCCTTATTACTAGATTCCTATTTGTACTTGAAATTCAACTCCGTGGAAACCCCAAAGAATTAAAATCACACAAGTTGTGCAGATATAACTCAAAAACAACTTCAAAACAAATAGATTCCCACATTTCCCTTGAACACATGAAAATATTTTGTTATTATCCCAAGTACCTTTCAAAAAAAAAAAAAAAAAAGCCTCTGATTAACAATGTGGTATTTGCTATCCAAAAAAACACAGTATAAAACGTCAAGAATCACTTCAAAAAAAAAAAAAAAATAGTACAATGTAACCTCAAAATTCACAACGCAAAATCACAGACATTACAGAAACAAAATACCATTAGAAGAACCCATGAATTGGAAGAGAGAGAGAGAGAGACCTTCTTCATGCGGGTTTTGACTTCAGATTTCCGAGCTTTGTTGTAAATCCGCCTCTTTTCGGCCTGCCTGGCTCTTTTCGCGGCGGAATCCGCCTTCTTCGTGGGAGCAGCCTCACAAACAACAGCTGCAGAGCGACGCATCGTCCTCTGAACAGCATTCATCGACAAACACCCTAGCCAAAAAGAAAAAACTCAGAAATTTTCTCGGCAACCAAACAAACAGGAGTTCGGTAAATGGACTACTAATGGTTCGTTCACCTTTGGAGAAGAAATCGTGGGAGAGAGTAGCGGAGAAACTCAGAGAGCTCGAGTGAGAGGAGCCACTGATTGAGAGGCTTCTGAGCTTGGAAGGAAGTGCCAAACATGAAGAAGATAAGCACTGAATTGTTGCTGCCATTTTTCTCTCTCGCTGAAGCTTTTTCTTTTGTCTGAGCTTTCTTTCTATCTATTCGGACGCTGATAAGGTTGTTTTCTTGATGTTGGGATTTTTTAGTTTCCTCATTTACCCCTAAACTATTAATTTCATTCAACTAGACAACTTTCGAAAGGGTAATTAGGATTGTTGGTCCTCAATTTTGAGCATAATGACATTTTGATCTCTAAATTTTTAGTGGACGTTTAGTTTATAAATTTAAAATTATTTTTGATTTACGTAAATTTTTTTGAAAGAAAATACTATAGCGAATTACAAATCATGGTACGAATCTACCAACTAAATCATGGTACGAATCTACCAATCAAATCATAGTACGAATCAGAAAACACTGGCCGTGTTTAGAATTGATCTCATTTTTGTTCACGTTTTTTGAAAAAGAAAAAATGAAAACGTTTTCAAAACGACGTTTGGCGCAATAAAGATAAAAAACAGAAATGAAAACGATTTTTTAGTTTAGTGTAAAATGAAAGAGAAATGAAAAATGATTTTTAGTCGTTTTTCATTTTTTATTTTCGTTTTCTCCTCTCTCAAGCAGAGAGAAAGAGATAAAGACATTAATGGGTTTTTTATACTGAAAATAATATCTTGATAAAACTACCAAACCCATTTTTAAAAATGATTTCTATCTGAAATTGAAAACGTTTTCATTTTTATTTTCATACAAAAAACAAAATCATTTTAAAACGAATTCCAAACACGTCCACTGTTTTTTAATATATTAGTCAACTTTTAATTTTGAAAGTTTTAATCTCAACAAAAAAATTGAAGAACTATTTCTAAAATTTAATGTAAATAATCACATCTTTATCGCATTATAATTAAAAATTTTACATAAATAATTACAGTATGTGCAAAATATTATAATTTTCATCAAGTTTTAATAGTAATGAAGATAAAATTTTGCATATAATTAATTATTTCTATAAAATTTTAAGTTTTTATGAGATAGACACATGACTATCTTTGTTAAATTTCAGAAATCACTCGTCAATTTTAATGTTAAGGATACAAACTGTATAAAAATAAAAGTTGAAGTTCTTAAATATGTCAAAACTAAAGGTTCAGCAACCATTTTATCTGAACTGTTGTTATCCTCTTTTATATCCATAAACTAGGAAAAGTTACATGCCTACCACCTGGATTTTAAAATTGTTACAAGAAAACCATTTTTTATTTTTTAAGTTTTGGGTGGAAATAGTTACAATAAAGTTTAAGAATTCCCCTGAACTTTGATCATTGTCTTAGGTCCCGTTTATTTTATCGATTCGAGTATAAAATTTAAGTTTTGTTATAGTAAAAAGCTCTCAGAAATAATCACATCTAACTTTTTTACTATAGTAAAAAACTTTCACATAAAATTACATCTTAATTCAAATTAAAAACTCGAATTAACAAAGTAAACGGACCCTCCCCAAACTATGAAAAGTGACACATACACTCTGTCAACTTTGAGTTGTGGTAACGACATTCTAATTGAAGCTTACCTGTCCGTAGCCATTTCAGTCCAAGAATTGGACAAAAACTTAACAACAAAGTTTTCTTGTTATAATTCTAATTAAGCTCCATTTAATTTTTGGATCAAAATAGCCATTGTCATATAATAGTTCTGAAGGGTGAAAATAGGATTGGCAACCTCGTTCACTTTGCAGATTCGAGTTGAGATGTGACATTTTCTGATAATTTTTTACTGTAGCAGAAAAAGTTAGATGTGACATTTTCTGAGTATTTTTTACTGTAAAAACTTAAAACTGAAAACTCGAATCGGTGAAATGAACGAGACGTTTCTTCTTTATTTTCTTGGAACTATCATATAAAATTCCTTTTTCAGGAAACTATCATATAAAATTCTAAGTAGCAGAAACCAAAACAAAACAAAACAAAGTAAAATAAAAGAGAAAGGGTTCTTACAATTTTTTTTTTTTTTAAATTAGTGAACTTAAGTTACATGTGAATAGTTTCATTTAAGAAGTGGATGATAGAGCTTTACAATAATTGTTTTTATCAAATTTTCAAAATTTAGGAGGCAAGGGTATCACTTTCTATAATGTCGGGTGAATAATGATATAATGAGTAAATTTTATAAGATTTAAAAAAAAAAAATTGCCGTGTCCATAATCATTTCATTCCAAGAATTGGACAAAAACTTAACAAAAAAGAGCTGGGAGTTTTTCTCATAGGTCAGTCCTATCAGTAGTTTTAGTTTTTAACTGTTAAATCAAGTTAAAATTACATCAAATTAAAAAAGTATACATCAGATAATTTTTTATATAAATCTGATGATTGAAAATAGAGAACTACTAATAGTTTGTTTTTTCTAATCCTATCAAAGAAGTTCCCATTTCTTAAAAATAAAAAAAAAAAAGGAAAAAAAAAAGAGGGGGATCATAGTACATTTTCTATGCCTCTACTTTGATGGAGAATGAAGATTACAGACACAACCAAAATAACAATTTCCTTCATCATAAAAAGAAATGGTTGAACAGTAGCTGTAATGGATGCCCTCCTTTAGTTATAGTGTTATCTCTTATTGTTGTTGTTCGCCATTGCATTGTACTAACAGATCTTGGTAAGTTATTTATCGATGGTATGGGTTTTTTGGTCCGGCTAGAATTTTTTTATGCCATGTTGTTGATGTCCCCTTTATGTGGGGGTTGATTCAGGTCAATTGGGTTAATCCATCGATTGTTTGTGACTTTGAACGAGCTTAAAAAAAGCTCTATTTTACTGTATCGAGCGGGTCTTTTCCCATTGAGTCTCAGTACTTTTTTCGCCTTTGTGCTATGTTGTCCTCACTAGTGGATCCAGTCTTTGGTTCGGGGTAAATCTCCTCTATAATTGGACCATTAGTGTCTTGTGTAATCGTTTCGTTTGCAATGAAATGCTTCTCTTTCAAAAAAAAAAAAAAAAAAAAAAAAAGTTATAAGTTGGATCAACAAATAATTTATAATACTTAAAAGAGCTAAGGAGTTGGCTTCTAAGGAGGCCATGTATTGGCCTCAAAGAAGGCCACATGTTGGCCTCTACTTTTTTTTTCTTTTTTTTTTCATTAATAGACATTTTTTATATTTTTATTCTCTCTTTTTTTTCATACCTATTGTCTTTTTTTTCACTATTACCTTTAGTAATAAATTTTTTTTATTCCATTCACTAAGTGTGAATGAGTTTTTAAATAGAGACGGACGAAACATAAGATGAAACATACATAATGTTTCGTTTCTCTTTATAAAAAAAAAAATAATAATAATAATCTTATGTTTATAACCATAACTTATTAAAACACATTTACTTAATTTAAAACGTGCATTTTGATCCTTTTACTTTTATTTATTTTAAATTTTGTGTTTTCTAATCATATTTTATTAAACTTTACCCTCTAATAAGCTCTCATTTAAATAATTTTAAATGTGTGCTTACCTAAATATTTTTCTTTATTGTTGATATTTATTTTTTAAAAATTTATGTCTAAAAAATATAACATACTTATATTCACGTGCTACGCGCGTGTTTCAATGAGTAAAAATAAATAAAAGTCTCAAAACTACTTAAAAGGTGCTAATTTTAATTACATCACAGCCAATAACACTAATAACAATAAGTCTGTACAACTTGGATAAATACAAGAACAATGTTTGGATACCAACAGATAAATGAGCTGGACATGTGATTGTCGGATCATATATGCAAAGTAACACCCCATTGCAAAGTATCAAACTCTTTGTTATGACAAATAAAACATTTATAAGAGAACAAAAGGATGAGTTTTCCCTTGGTAATCCAACAGTCTTCCCCCATTTCTATACATTATTATTATTCTCTTCTTTTGTGGGTCAATGCTTCGGACTTGCAGATGGGGCAGACATTCTTGATAAGCAACCATTTCTTCAGACATTCTGCATGGTACTCATGTCCACAACTCAGAATTCCAATCTTCTCGAAAGTTTTGTAGTTGTCCTGCGAATTCGTGAACAAAAGCTTTGAAATTAAGAGTAATCACAGAGAGAATTTCCACGAGTGTGTTTTATACTTGGATATCCTGTCAAGTGAAACTTCTAATAACAATAAATTAATGACAAAATCAAGGAAAATTTTTCCTTACCTGGCATATAATGCAAGAATTAGATTCCTTATCTGAGACTTTTGTTTCTTCCAGATTAATATTAGTTCCACGTGATAAATAGGTGGTTGTCTTTAGTTGACTCACGATGATCTCCTCTGACAACCCAGTGTTCACGTTACCAATCCTCTCCCCCAATGCAAGAAGTTCCTGCGCATGATAAATAGGTAATTGATATGATCGGTTACTAGTTTATCTACATAATGAGGTTCGTCCTGACAAGATCAAATTTCAAAACTTACCTCATAAGACATATCCTCGATATCCAAGCGCATGTCGCTATGATGGTCAAACTCCCCTACCTCATATGACTCTGGAAGCTCCAGTATGGCAACCTCCTGTGGAAAATAGATAAATAAAAGCAAATAGTTCAGCCAACAATTAATTGAATTAAAATGTGACAATCAATACATTCTCTATTATGAACATAGGTGACAGAGATCAAGTGAAATACATCAGCATGCAGATATCTCAAGTGCGGAAGGTGCTGCTGTCTTGAATTTGTATCGGGAATGCCTTCTCGGTGAGGGCGGATTATCCTTATGCCAGTTGGTGGAAGCGTTCCTGCATGCCTATGTTCCAGACCATTTTGAGACGGATTCATACTACTGCGTGTGGAATTTGAGGAAGACCTATGTGAAGCTCCAGGCAAGTTATTATGGCCTCTAGGTCCCAGCACAGGTGGTAACGCATGGTGATTCTGATGCCTATGGTTCACTGAAGGATAGTGTCGTAGACTTTGTGAAGTTCTCCTGTTAGGTGTCTCTTGATATCTCAGCATACCCACATTTGCATTCTCTATTGAACCTGCACTGAGATTGGCCACTGTACATTGTACAAAAACAGGTCCATCATTACAACAGATTAACTGCAATTACTATAAAGGTGGAAATGAAAAAAAAAAAAAAAAAATAACAGCACAGTACAGTTGTAAAACTTAAAAGAAAGATGGAGATGAACTTCTGTTAATGTATATACATACACACAATCATATATGTGTGTGTGTGTTTTACATACTTAGGGTAGAGGTCAAACTGAGTTGGTTTGCGAAAAGATTTAAGAAATCATCATAATAACTTTGATGAATACAATTAGAAAACGAGAAAGATGTACCATGCACAAAAGGTATATTAGGGGCATGATTCCAGGCTGAACCACCTCCATCACCAGAAGTGCCGCTTAAGTTTTGTTCCAACCACATACCAGATGGCTGAAAGTGCTGACCCAAATAGTTTCCTTGAACAAGATGGTTATGGTCATGCATCCCGGCAGAATCCAGTGCAGTTGCAACAAATCTGCTCCTTGCACCACTGTGTGGTCCTACCTCCATAATTGGTGGGTTCCCATTTCCTACATACCGAGGCAGAGAAAAAGATGCAGGATCTGATGCAGCAACTCCATCTGGAAGTCTTGCATTCAAAGGAACTCCTGAAGAACTAGGGGTTGCAGAGCCATTAAAGTGTTGGCAATGTCCTGGGAGACTTTCCGGAACTTTTCTCTTGCATGGACCTCTAGCACCATCTACAAAGTGATTATTTCTTCCAAATTCATCTGCAGATATTCCAACAATGTCATAACCGCCAGAAGATGACAATTGATCAGGGGTCCCATGACTTAAAGGAACAGGTAACACCCCAACACTAGATGAAGGGGGCATGAATGTATAATAGAAGTTCCCGGGTGTAGCAACACCTAAATCAAGATTATGCTGATGATGCAGACCATTATATTGAGCCGTCCCATAAAACAATGTATTGTCATATCTTTCAGGTAGATATTGGGTATCAAAATTAGTACTGCTCCCTGAAGCCGTCATTATTGTACGCGTGTTGGGTTGCTGGAAGTTCGTTGTATGCCCCAAATGGATGGGGGGGCCCGGATAGAGATATCCTTGGCCTTGTAGATCCATTTCCAAGTCAATCATCTGATTAATACATAACATATTTCTGTGTCCCATACCAATGGAGAACTTTTATGAAGCAAACTATACCTGCTCTCAATCCAAAACATGAATAAAAGAAGTCAGATAAAAACATAAGGGAAAAAAAAAAAAAAACCATTGAAAACGTTCTAGCTAAAAGCCTAAAACCTGATAGAAGGAATAGCAAGTTATGTTCATTCAATTCTTCCCACAAAAGATTACAGCAATAGATGCAATCGACGGAATAAACTTCCAAAAGATTAAAAATCAGAATTTGCACCATCTGCTTAGAAGCATCACAGCTATACATGACAAAACCTTCATTAGAAAAAAGAAAAAAAAAATGTACAGAACCAAAAAAAACAAAAAACCAAAACAGAACACAACCAAAAAAAAAAAAATTTTCGTGCCTGTAGCAGGAATCTTCCACAAAGCTTGCTTTCCCCACATCATAGTTCCTTCTAAAAGCAATTAAAATACTTGCTTTCTTAAGAGCATAAGTCACGGCAGGCACAAAAGAGGCCATCCCATAAAGTTAATAGAGAATAGTTTCCCGAGAAACTGAAATTGAATTCAAAATAAGACTCTAACGTTCATAATTATTGGAGCAGGTTAATAAACATTCAGTTCTCTTTGTAACACAAATTGGACATATGTTTGGTTCACATTCTCAGAAAAGAAAAGAAAAGAAAAAGGCTTTGTATACAAATCTCTAATCCAAAAACAACAATCTGGGCCAAAACGATCCCGAGCTATCTATTTAACTAAAACATGGCAGAATGAACTGCAAGCAAAGTCAGCATAGTTTTCACCAGTCACCACTACTTGCCCAGATTTGCAGAAATAAATAACCATTTGAATGAAAGTTTAGCATATGTAAAAGAAAATGAAATTCAAACAAAAATGGAAGTACAAGAACACACAAAGAGAAAGATACCAAATAAAAGGCATATAACAAACTTGCAGCGATGGTTAAAGTTAACAAAAAAACAATCATTTCCTAAGTCACAACAACTTCTTTCTCACTAATCCTTCTTTCTCACTTTGCAGACCATACACAGGTCATTCAATAGAAGATTACCACTAAACATGCCTGAAAATGAAAAACGCATATACTCAGTTAAGCAAAAAACTGTTACAGCATTAAATGCCACTTGCAAGGATTTAAACTCCAAGCATCAATAGAGATTGGAAACAAAAACCCCGTCCGTAACTATCCATTAATTCAGTATCCCAAATTGACAACACAACTTTCCATCATATGTTATTGACCATCTAATGTACATAACTTCCAATTCTGTATAAAGCAACCCAAGAAAACATCTACGGTCTTATGTCAGATCAGAAGTTGGTTGGAATTTTCCATTACCACCCATCAGATAAGGAATTTAATCCACTGTCCACAATAGGACCATAGAAAAAATACAATGTCATGGTTGCAAGAAATATGTTCCACTACCAACATCAACAAAGGGCAAAAATGGAACAGGAAAGCAGCTGAAAAAAATAACATATACATATAATATAGATATATATATATATATCTAACCAAAATACTTCCACTCAAGGACATCATAACAAGGTAAATTAAAAGCTATGAACACCTCAATATTCAGAAGGAAAAATAGAGTTTAGATCAGACACTCCAACAATAACATGTACAACACTGGAAGAGGAAGAAGAAGAGGAAAAAGAAAGGGACAAAAACAAGAACAACCCCAATGAAAACAAAACAAAAGGTCAACAACAGATGGTAAGTTCAATACACTAGTGGTTAAGATGAATATGCCACTTTCCAAATTTGATTCATGTTCAGCTTCATCATGCATTTTCAAAAGTCACCAACAGATAGTAAGTTCAATATACCTTGAATTCAATCTAACCCCAAAATAATTCCGTACTTGAAATAGAATATACACAAAATTCAAGAAAAAAGTTGCATACAGCTTCATCATGTACTTTGATTTCCCGTTTCTTATCCATAGAATTACTGTTACCTCGTATTTTCAAGAAACTCACAAGAATCAAAATCCGAAAACCTAATAATTCTTCCCAATCCCTCTTTCTCTCTCTCTCAAATTTTCCCGGAAAATTATAACCATAAAAAAACAAAAAACAAAAAAAACCCAATTATATAACTAAAACAAATAAAAGTTTATGTACCTTATTATCATGAACAACCTCCGAAACGTCCAAATTTCACCGGCATATGCGATTAAAGAACCGAACCCAAAACCAATTCCGACAGTCTCTGCGGAAAAAAAACAATAATCAGAAGAAAAAAAACCCTAAATCACAATCATCAATAACAGTAATTAACAAAAAAAATCCAAAATTTAAACGCCAACGGCTAGAAAAGGAGAAATCTTTGAGGGCTGAAAACAAAGAGTTGAGAAATTGGATTGATAGAGAAAGAAAAACAGGCGAAAGAAACTCACAGCAACGAGAATTGTTCGGACAGAGAGAGGGATTTAGGGATCTGAGAAAGAAAGGAACTTTTAGAGAGAGAAAGATGGAAACTTGGGCTTCTAATTTAGAGAGAGAGAGATGGGGGAAATTCTAGTTGGCTTTGCCTCTGTTTCGTTTTATATATGCAAACGGATTTTGCTTCTTTTTTTTTTCAATTCTTATTATTACAATCTTCTTCGCTCTTTCTCTCTTTCTCTCTCTCACTATTTTTTTTTTTCTTTGATGGCAGAGTTTCCTAATTACGCCCGTTACAGTTTTTCCAGAGTTACGAAAATACCCTCCAAAATTGCCACCTGGCACTTTCTTTGAGAAACGATTTGGGACACTTCGGGGCTGTTCGGTAGCCCCATTTTTTGAGTCAAAAATTTTAAAAAATAATTCGAGTTACAACTTTATTTAAATTTATGTTCTTTTAAGTTTGAATTCGAGTTTAAACTTGAGTTTGGGACTAAAACTTGAGTTCTGAAACTCGAATTCAAATTAATGAACAATATTTTTTCTATTATTAAAAATGCTATAACTTTTTCGTTTTATTTCTTATTGAGATGATTTTTTTTTCTATGCGTTGACAATAAAAAGACGAATAAAACTCCACCCATATACCCTATCAAAATTTGTCATCAGCATTGAGTTTTTATTAAAATACTATCTAAATACAAATTCAAGTTTTTACTCATTCAACACAAACTCAAAAAGATTCTTATCTCAAATCATAACTCAAATGTACACAATCAAACACAAACTCAAGTTACAACTTCAACTTAAGTTATAACTCAAACTCAACTCAAAATCTACACTCAAATCACTTAATTCAAAAACGACAAAAGAATAGCGCATTCTTTCCTTAACCGCTTGTCATAATTTTTTTTTTTTTTTGCACTTTTGCTTTTTTGTAAAAAAGAGAAGGGAATTTGTTTTTATAACCAAAGAAAAACAAAAACGGAAACTTATTATTCATGCACATTTTTGGGTGGATGCTTTTTTTTGATAAAATAATTTTGCTATTGTTCTTTATATCAAATGATCCGTTTAGTTCACTGATTTAAATTTTTAATTTGAGTTGAGATGTGATTTTATGTGAAAATTTTTTACTGTAATAAAAAAGTTAAATGTGACGGTTTCTGAGAGCTTTTTACTGTAACAAAACTCAAATCGGTGAAATGAACGCAACTAACACTATCTTTTTTATAATATTAGAATGGTAAATTTATATTTAAAATAAATATCTTTTCGATATGAGGTTGTTTTTAGAACATATATACCCTTTAATTAATTTGATCCAGAATTAAGTTTGAATATAAATTATTTTCTTAAATATGTTGAAAATATTTAATAATTATTAAAAAATCATAAATCTAAACAATAAAAAAATTTGATATATTCAAAAAATAATTCATATTTAAACTTAATTATAGAGTAAATTAATTAAAAGGATATTAAAGACATTTTGTCTCGAAAATAATCAAGAGTACCAAAAAAATTAAATGTGAAGATACTATTAATATTATCAGAAACGATAGAGTACTTTTAAGATGTTTCAATATAATATAAGATATCAAAACAATTTTTTTTTTTAATTTTTTTTGGCTCAAAAAGAAAAAAAATTATTGTTTTGCTTTTTTTTTTTTTTTGGATTGTACCCAAACTATTCTACTCATAGACCAATCTGGATCAGTTTTCACATGATGATGATAATAATAATAATAATAATAATAATAATAATAATAATAATAATAATAATAATAACTTGATTTTGTCCTTTGTTTATTGGAAAGCATGACTCTTTCTTTCCCAACTAAAATGTCGACCATTAGCAAAAAGCTAAAATGTTGACCTATTAATTCAGAAGGCAAAATATAAAAAATAAAAAATAAAAAACTTCCCTAATTTTAACCTACTAAATATCTGTTTATAAATCCTTTTAAATATACATAAAGTCTTGTGAACCGAGATATAACCTACCCTCTTTCAAGACCATAAATTTATTTGAAGAGGAATTAGCATAAAATTCCCAATAAGGTTGTGTATACCTCCCCAATAAGACAAAAAATTTCAATTACACACGATCTCTTTTTTTTTTTTTTTAATGTCATAGTTGATGTCAACGCTTTACTCCTGAAAATATAATAATATCCCAAACTTAATGACGGAGTTATCATGCGGTTTTAATTTTAGTTCTTTTCATTAATTATGTGTTAAAAACATAACAAAATATAAATAATATTTAATTAATAAGAATATAGATAATATTCAATTAATAAAAATGTTATTTTATATTTTTGCATCAAAATTACGTGTATATTTCATGTTCTATTAATGAAATACTATTTTCTTCCAACATTATAAACAGATTCTATCCTTTTTTATATCAAGTGATGAAAATGACTAAAAATAAATTAATAGATTAAAGATTAAGCTTAGAACGAGTCAAACTAAAATAGGTTGCAAGTAAAATTTAGGGACCGTTTGTAAATTAAGGCTTTTCGTATCAATTTGCAAAAAGGTCAAATAAGTTTTGTTGACCAAAAAGAGATAATAAACAATGACCAAATAAGAAACGTTTTTTGTGAGTGGTATTTGTACTTGGACATTTCACGAAGTCGTCGTTTTACTTTTGTGTTTAATAAGGAGATTCGTACCCTGATTTGAATTATGGTTCATAGTTCATTACAGTGTTTTTTTCACAAAAAATACACGTAAATCGAAAATAGTTCTAATCTCATGATTATAATTCATGAATTAAACGTCTCATGTTTTACCTTGTCTGGTCAGAGTTGGCTAAGTAAGGTTGTTTTATTGTTTTTTTTTTGTTTTGTTTTGGACTGGAAATGATAAGAGTTCCGTGTTTTTGGGTCTTATTGATGTGGAAAACGTATTTGATTGTCATTTTGTTTAAAGCAATAGATAATAAGATGGCCACAAAGAGAGCAACGTATACATCACCCAATTGTCGAGGAAGCAAACAAAACGGTCTTAAAAATAAAATATATAAAAAAAACTGAATTTTCCACCCCAAAAAAAAAAAGTCTTAAAACAAATTGAATTTTCCACACAAAAAAAAAAAAATAAATAAATCAATCAATCAAAAACAAATAAATGGGGAGAAGCAAAAGGTTCACAAATGCCAAAGGAATATTCTTTTTATGCAAATGTAGTACACTTAAAAGGCGGAAATGAATGTGGCTCCTGAGTTTCATTCCCTTCCCTCCCTTTTTTCCCCTCAATATACGAAAAAGCATAATGAAATTATGTATTAGAATATAAGAAAATATATATTTGTATATATAGATATATGTATAAAGGAAAAAAAACCAGAAGTACCACTCAATGTGGTAAAAAAAATATTTGTGTCACTTCACTAAAAAATAAATAATTGTCATTCAATTAATAAAGAGAAACTATAGTGCCTAATTATTTAAAATAATATAAATAATAGCCTCGTAAAAAACATGACAAACCATGTATTTTTTCATAAAGAAATATATCTTTAGAGCTACTAGTTTGGATAGGTAAATCCAAAACCCAAACATTTTGAATCAGTCCCGACCCACTTAAAGACTAGTCCCTACTTGGGACTAAGGTTCCGAGCCCAAAAGTACTTTGGGACCGGACAATTTATTTTTACGAAAATAGTAGGAAATAAGTCAATATAAAAAATTTAAGAAAGTATATAGGTCAATTATTAACTATAAAAATTAATAGACCATAACTTATCAAGTTATGGTTAATAATCAGATTAGTTATGGACAAACTTGTCAAGTTATGGTTTATAATCAGATAAGTTATGGACAATAACTTCTCAAGTTATGGACGAAAACAGTAATTTGACCTATTTATTAACTTATGTAAACTATTGGCCTATTAATTTTAATTCATCTCAAGTTTTAGCATATTTTCCTCTTTCTCCCTTGTTTTTATTATTATGTTTTTCTTAGAAAAAATTAGCTTAAAGATGGACTAAAAATCCATCTTTAAGCCATCGTGTTGAACTGGATTGTCCGAACTTGTTCCTCTAATTCTTTCAAACAGAGTATAATAGTAAACTATCATCTCATATCAAAATCATATATTATTAAGAATAAAAAAAAGTTAATTATAGTTTAACAAAACTTGACGATACAATTGTACATTTAATGTAATTCTTATTTAATCGAACAAGAAAAAACATACAACAGCAACACAAATTTCTCACCACACAAGTGACAAGTGCTGTATTATTTTCCCCTTTTTTTTTTGCTATCCGTTTCTTTTTAATTTAATTTAACCCAACTTGATAGTGAACCAAACGACAAGGACGCTCTACCTCTAAGCTTCAAACACCTAATCCCATTTTCAATATATATATATATATATAAAGAGAGAAATAAATGAATACAATATTCTTAAGATAATGGTATTTTGTCGATCAAACAACTGATTTATTTGTTTACTTTAAGTGGGATCTTAATTATATCTAATTGCTTATTTGCTCTGTTTCCCAAAACGTGGATATAATAAGAACATAATGGGGCAACTAGGTTATATATTAAAAAAAAATAATTATTATGAGCAAGCACCCTAATAAAAAGAAAATTTGGCTATGATATAAGAAGGTCATGCTTTAGTTGTTTTTATCTAACATTAACACATGAAGAATCTTTAGCGAGGATAAATGTCATTGTTTAAAATCATTCAATAGCGATGATATTTATCGTTAAAGGAAAAAACAAAGATAATTTTTACAAAAATATTTTTAGGTGTCACTAAATGTCTCGTGAAACAAAAAAAAAAAAAAAGCAAATAAAAAGGTTCTTAAAATTTCGTTTTGTGGCCTTTTTACATGCTTTATTAATTTTAAATTTCTAAAATATGTTGTCCCAAAAAATGTTTTAAGTTGAAAATTTTCATTTCCGGCTTGTTTATCCACTTTCTTAGTTTGAAATTTGAATTAACTTGTAGCAATAACATATTATTTCCTTTAAGATACTTCCTATCATTTATAAAAAGATGGGTCCCACTAAGTTTTAATTTCACTATCTTTTATGTGAATTGTAAGATTTTAACCTCGCGTGGATAAATAGAAGTGCTTAATATACATATGTTGCCACCACCTCTTCGCCTCTCCACCGTCCTTCTCTCTCCTCTCTCCTCTCTCCATTATCTTTCTCTCACTCCCTCACTTTCTCTTTCTATATAAATATA